AGTAGAATCCGTACATTTGCGCCCTTGTGGCCAAGGGAGTTGAAGCAACGAATTTCTGATTTTGAGTGCAGCTGTGTGAGATGTTGGTGAAATTCCCACAGATAAAATAGAAGCTTGGTTTTAAAAATCTTAGGAAGAGCATGAAAAGAACTTTCCAATGAAATGCAGAATCCATATTTTTGGAGGGAAAAAGTTGTTCGGAAAAGAGGCCTAAAAACGGACATTATTTTTGCACCAATCTAATAAAATTACATTTCTCACAGATTTTTTGTTCTTACATTCTTATGCGAAGTTAAAAGTTACCAGGTAATATATAGACTACTCACTGCACATTTTTAGAACCCATATAAGTAAATTTCAAAGATTTCGCGACCCATCGCCCCCCCCCCCCCCCGGACCACCACTGCTATGTAAGAAGTTTTCACAAATCATTCGGAGCTTGCTAGCGGCACTCTAGTATTACTTGCGACCAGTCTCATGAGCAATTTTTAGGCACCATTTTTGGAAGCTTAGTCACCCAAGGCTAAACCAAAACTAGCAACCAGGTAGCTGTCGTACAGCGTTAACCTTCTTCAACTCCACTACTACAAAATCTTGAATTTAGGCTTATCATTTGTAAAGTTATTGAATTTCCTTCAAATCACGCAAGAAGCATTGGGACGTTGCTTTCTTTTGAGTTACGCTAAAACATTCCCATCAACCTAAAGTTTATCTAAAATGGAAGACTGATAAATGAAACCACTTAAAAATAGCTGAAAAGATATTTGGATTCTATAAAGGACTGATGAACCAACGTTCATTTGACGCAGCTATGTATCTAAAGCGATTCCCATCACTGTTAATGTAACTTCGATATTCATTATGATTCGTTATTCCGTGCGCTTAGCAATATTATCAGTAAAGTCAGAGTAAAGGCCATTGATTTTGTTCATCAAAACAAGGATTGCTTTTGCAGTGAAATGTTCTGCACCAAAATGGGTTGCTATTACAAGGAAATGTGATTGTATGAAAGAAATCCTTCATTCCTTTCTCATTCACTCTACGATATGTATTCGTGAACTTTATGGAGAGACGGTGCAAAAAATAGGTGCTATAAAAAAATTGGGAGACTTCAGCAAGCCAATGCATTTCTTTGATGTTCTTGATATTCTATACTACTAGCGAATAAATTGTGGAATTCATGATTGATATAGGTGCGTGAAAGCCAAACAATTTGTATTAGGATTCTGATTTGAGTGTGTCATTGTCTTACCTGCAAGAAGCCAGCAATGTAAAAGCGTCAAAAAGAGGCTATGTTCTCAAGATTGCGTTATGTTGGACGTAATCAAACTGGTTATTGTCTTGAGTTCGGTAATTTTTATGTGTTCGAATTCAGATTTAAATCGTAGAGCACTTATGTCAATAAAAAATCGCTGGTTACGCTTTTTAAAGCCCCACAAAAGGTAACAAAATAAATCCAAAACAACTTAAATCTTAATAACCTTGGAAGCTCGAAAGTTCTCGTGCAATCGTTCTCGGGAACGAAGATTCGGGACTTGTATCCGTTAAAAACCAGTGATGAATCAATAAGTCGCGTTGTACAGGGTTGGAGGAAAGTCATATTTACATGAAATAAATATAATGTTTATCAAACAGTCTACTACATAAATGCACCTTTACATTTCAAAGATCCCAAAGGCTCGAAGACGCTTGGGAAAGCTGTCCACGGTGCGCGGAGGTACTCCAAGTCGGTTTTCTCCACGCATTCTGAAAAGCACGTCGCAGGGACTCCACCGTCTTGTGTGGGTGAACACGAGCTTTGGCCTCAAGAACTGACCTTACGATATAGTCGAGGGGATTAAGATCCGGCGAGTACGGCGGCCATTCTGCAGGAGTAATGAAGTTCTTAATAATTGGAATGCGTACCACCTTACGGCTGCCTGGCCGCGATCTAGAGCGCCGGCAGAGATGCGGAGGAGTAGCTGGAGGCTGCGGAAGAGCGCGATTGAGTTGCTCTTGGATGTAGGCGATGCGGTGATGGACGAGCTGACTGGCCGATGAGCAACGGAGGATAAATAGCATTAAAATTCGTTGGTTCGATTGCGCGGGCAGTTGAGATTGATAGTAGGGTTGGGGAGATATGATATAGCGTCTATGTACATCGCACCGTTTTGACGACTAAATTGAAAAAGTCTTTCTTTGTACAAATGTTCGTGAGACATTTGTTCTGCTTATATTTTTCATCTCACGTCTTTTCGTTGATTCCGTTATTGCTACTTACTACATATAATTCTGTATAAGACCGATTACTCTTAGCCGGGTAGGGTAATACCTCTACAAACATGATTCACCATAGAGCCGGCTAAGTAAGCAACCTCGGCTAGAGCCAATGCTGATGAGACTGCGACCTTGTTATATTTTCCAGATGTTTTGGATAGCGTGAATCAGTGTTATAAGTTCGGGGATGGACTGGTCTGCAAACCACACATATTTCGACGGAAGCATGTGTGTGTGTTGTAAATTCATATTCATCTTTTGGGGAATATGATAGCGAAGTAATCCTTGAAGTCCAAGTTTACCCGATTTTGTACATTCCACTTCGCATTGTTCTCCGATCAACGGGTTTTGAAGTGTCAATGGCGTTAAAGTCATTGTATTGTTGGTGCGCAGTAAACAATTTTTCATGGCGCTTACTGACCGTAACTTGCATATTCGCTTGGGAGTAACAAAATGTCGGAACTTTCCCTCTCGCACGCTTCTCAACTTGTTTAATCATGACATTGGGGATTAAAATGGGGAACACGTAGCCCCGCTTATAGGCGATGCTAAGGATTCTTCGGGACACTGGCAATGGGGTCGTACCATCGCAATGACAACTGACTTGGTTCTAGCACTTATGGAATTCTGCCTTCTTCTTTCTTGTTCACGCCTTTCACGGGTTTTGTATATTGTGCGAGTACATAATTTTCGTTTGCTGTTGCGAATCTTCGATACAATGATAGGTGTGGGTTTTTTGCACCAAAATCGCTGTCTTATTTAATCGGTGAAATGTCTTAGAAATGTAAGGTTTAGGTGCGCCGATTCCTCTCTGTCCGTGTCATTTTCACGTCGATTTCTATCGATGGCGTCCAGTCAGTGCACCTCAGTACTACGTGAACTGCATCCGATGTGTTTTTGTTTGCTTGCTACTCTGTAGAATTAGCAAGCTGGAAGTAGCAGCAGGCATCCACACGGTAGTCCAGAAAAGTCCGCTGCGCTTTCTCAATTCGCTTACTGTCTCATGGGGTCTAATACTTTGGCATTAGTTGAGGTACATGAACCCGCTTCCGGGCATCCCCAAATTTGGTGGCTGGCAAGGCTTTACTGTAGCCTTGGGCGGATGGTGCGCCTGTATGGAGTACGTTGGCTCCTTGTGTAAAACACTTAAGTTATTGGAGCCTTATTGAACAGATGAAACGCACCCATTCGTGCAGTGGTAAAGTCGAGTTACAAGATCGCCCATATCGCTGTAGGCTGAACCTTCGCGAGCGTGGCGCCACCCATCCGCGTATAAGGGTTCCTTCATATTACGCCGCGCACGCCGCGTACGCCGCTGCAGCGCAATGGAAATATGCTCACGGCAGCAGAGCTCCACTTTTTTTTGATGTGTCTCTATATTTGCTGCACATTCGCGTCCCTCAACAGTGTTCCTGCACAATATGCATTTCTTCCTCTCTTTTGCTTTGTTTATCCTGTCTATCCTTTGTCTGTATCAATGAGTGATGGAATGACTTAGGTTGTTGCGCTCCCTCTACTTTTGAGTTTCACATTTTGTATCGTAACTGAGTGCACATTGCGTCATCTGGTTGTATATTGGAAGTATGTGGTTGTTTGGTTGTTATGTTGTATCTGGTTGTATATTTGCGCTGTTAACATCTCCTTACAAACACATCACTGGATGAAAAGGATTTCTCTTCTTCATACTGTTAGACTTTGTGTTTGCAATTGCAAATTTGATGCGCCGTTATTGCCGCAGTTTGTTTTCTTCGCTCACAAAACATCATTCAAATTTCACTGACTTCAACTACATTATACAGTCAATGCGGCAAAAAAGACTCGGTGGTTTTACTTTCTTTTTGGATATTAATCTCAATTCATATCTGTCGTTCTCTTGAAAGACACCTCACTGTGTGTAGCTATCCTTCTGTATCTGACTAGAGAAAATTGTCATGGAAGAGAAGATAAGTGACCATAAGAAGGGGTATGAGTATCAAATCTGATAAAGTGAAATCTCACTTGTAAAATTTCACTTATGTTCTACTGTTAAAAGGGTGTACAACACATCTTGTTGATTAGAAGACGATTTATAAATGTAATAAGCTCGTAATAATAAGCAGTTATAGAGATACATCAAAAAAAGTGGAGCTCTGCTGCCGTGAGCATATTTCCACTGCGCTGCGGCGGCATACGCGGCTTACGCGGCATAGTATGAAGGAACCCTAAGGCGTTTAGTGTAGACGGTTGATGACTACGTGAGTCATCAAGCGCCGCTAAACGTAGCCCGCAGGCCACTGATTTAGCTGTGCGCCAAATACGCTCGCGGGAGTTCAGCCTACACGACATGGGCGAATGCTGGCCTGCCACGCGGGCGGCCCGGGTTTGATTCCCGGCCGATGCACAGAACTATTGTGGATGCTAGAAACTCGTGGGGCTTCTGGTCCGTAAAGACGACAAAATTAGCAAAGGTGGCGGTTCAGGATTTACCTTTATCTAAAGTATACAGCGAACGTACATGAGAGCAACTAATGAAGAGCCTGCTTTGGCTAATGATCTGGACATTATATCGCATGTGGGGGGGGGGGACCTGGCCATGTTTATCGCGCCAGAATCATTATCGCTGGGCGATGAGGACTTCTTGCCCCAGACACTGCCTCCAAGATATAGTGTGTTTGCGGTGCCTTTTTCTGCAGTAGTTTTTTGCGCGTGAACAAATAGCCTTGCGCGCGCAAGTGGTCGGCATTGTCCGACGTCACCGGCCGGTCGCCAGGCGGTGCGAACGTCTGACCGGCTGGCGTCCAGCCAGCGACCGTCTAGGCTGAAATTGAGATGTTCCATCTAGCAGCCGGTCATCGAGCTGTCGTCAGCCAGTAAATAAGTGTGTCTCAGTTGCACTAGGCGGCACTGATATTTGATCGAGATCTTGTTGTCCCAGCGTATCGATCACATGTGTCGTGCCCTTTGTGTATAATACTTAACCATCAGTCTACCGTTTGCTTTTGCTCGCACTTTAGCTTAGATGAAATTGCAAAATGAATCCGGACATGTTTCAAGATGCCTTTGGCCATTCACCTACGGTACGCGTCTTCTGTCCAGGATATTTGAATCTTATCGGTGAGTTTCCTTGGATTCTTTGCGTAATGTTCACTTTTCTTTTTTTTTCTTTTTTTTAGTAAACCTATCCTGCTGAACCTTTTTTGCATACTCGCTTCTATGAATAGGTGAACAAGCAGTATCATTTTTATAATTTGGTTTGCAAAGTGCACTTGCGTGTTCAAATGACTTCCTTGCTTTTACTTGGCAAAGGTTTTGTAATATACGGCCTTGGCCAGACTTCGCTCAAAAGCGCTCAAATGCGCCCAAAACCGCTCAAAAGCGCCCAGCTTTCTCTAATTTCTCTTCACTTTTTCGTGTAAGGAGAGATGGGAGGGATTAGAAAAATTTGGGCGCATTTGAGCGCCTTTTGGGCGCTTTTAAGCGAAGTGTGGCCGGTGCCTACATGTCCATTTAAGTGCACACTTTGCTGATAATTCTCTTGCTGTGATCTACATGTATTTTGCCGATCTTCATGTTTATTATTACCATTCTCTAGGACTCGCTTTAACCAACGAGTTTCACACCGCAGTCTCACATTGGTAGAGATCGATGATTCGCTTTCTGTGATTCTAAGCTGGCACCTTTACAGAACGGTGTTGAAGTGTGGCAAAAGATTGCAGCAAGATAGTTATCAACGACCAAACATTAACACATTCCTGGGATCCCTGTTAAATAGGTGTTTGAAGCGTTTCATATACGGTGATCAAGAAAGTTAGGAAGATCCTAGACTAGGATCCGAATTTCTATTCAACTTTACCAATGAGTTAGTGCTCCATAATATCATACGTCGTCAGTACAGGTATTTAACTGGATTTTTGCTCTTTTTGTGGTGTAAAAGGTCAACTTTCTGCGTACCCCTTTCTTGATGTTCCCGTCATATGTGTCTACACAAAAGCATCTTCGATAACGTTACTATTGAAATGTGCTCCTTTACATGTCAATATTGATCTATTTTGAGAAAATATTGCCGCATTACATTCCAGTCACGTGCTTTTCGTCTTAAGCTCAATTTCATAGAAGAGCACGAGGTTACCAAGCTTACTTTGTGATTAAGCTACACACAATTTATAAATCCCACGAAAAATACGTGGATTTGCAGCTCTCGAAGCAATTAGTGCAAACTTGACATGTGGCTTACTTCTTACCACAAATCTTTTTTTTCTCATCACAAGTGAGAGTACGTTTGCTACGTACTATAAGCAGCTGTGTGACTGTTGTTTCCGGCTAGCAAATGACTAGTCATCGAGCCAGCTGGCTGACAGAATTACGTCACTGCAAAGTTTTGCTGGCGCTATTCCAGTATCCGGGCCCCAAAATTTTTTTCGCATGGACTATGCCGAAACTCGGCCCAGAGGGGTTATTAGGCCCGCCGATGCTAAATATCATATTGGTTTTGTACCGTAGCGTCATTTTCTCGGGTCACGGTAGGTGCACGGTAAGGGATCAAAATCCCAGAATTCGCTGAAACTGGACCCAGAGAGGTTATTCAGCCCGCTGACGCCGAATATCACATTGGTTCTCTACCGTAGCCTCATTTTCTCGGGTTATGGTAGGTATACGGTAACGGGTGAAAAACATAGTTCTGCCTGAAACGGGTGTACGGCGATTCGGACGATCGTGAAGCTTTACAAACACGACCACCGCCGCGCTACACACCCTGCTGCGGCTTTTGCCTAAGCAAAGCACAGGGGAAGGATACATTTGCCGATTTATGATTTTGACCCCTAATGTAAGCCTACCGTAACATGCAGGGAGACGTTTTCGTGCGGAGAAAGCGTTAAACTTCCAATCAGCATGTCGAATAACCCCTCTGTGCGAAGTTACAGCGAATTTTGAGATTTTGACCCCGTACCGTATATCCACTGTAACCCAAGAAAATGACGCTACGGTACAAAACCAATGTGAGATTCGGCGTCAGCGGGCCGAATTATCCCCCTGGGTCAAGTTTCAGCGAATTCTGGAATTTGGATCCCTTACCGTGTACCTACCGCAACCCGAAAAATGACGCTACGGTACAAAACCAATGTGATATTCAGCATCAGCGGACCGAATAACCCCCCTGGGGCAAGTTTCAGCAAAATCCATGTCAAAAAAATTTTGGGGCCCGGATACTGGAATAGCGCCGTTTTGCTTACCACGATTTCACAATACAATGCGCAGGCTTTTTTCCTAAAATAACTCAATTCAAAAATGTGCAAATAGCGGGAAACCGCCTGGTGGTCTCGAGGCGAACCCTCCTCCAAATAGCACCTTTAAATTACTGGTTCACTAGTTCTAATTAAAAAACGAAAAGTTGTACTTTTGGGTGGACGTTTTTTGTGGCCAGTGAGTGCGTACCTAGCCCTTATTCTGGACAAAAACTAAATCAAAAAGTTTTTTAGGTGAACATATCGTGGATCATGGGTACGGGACCATCTCAATTGCAACAGATATCGGCACCGAAATACTGATAGCACCAAATGGAAGAAGCGACATTCACATCCGCAATACTGACGAAGAGTACAGGTGAGACGCGTGCTGCTTATAGACATCTGTTAGCTACTAAATTTGGCGGTAAATATAGTGTCGCTTTAGACAGTTTCCGATAGCATCGCGCGTGAATAAAATTGCCACGGCTGTAATGCCGTCAATTCGATCGTGCGAAATAGGATGCACATTTTCCCGTCTTTCTGGGAGTTTTTCACATGCAAATACTGTCAATGAATGTCTGCACCGCAGCGAAACCATATAGCTGTCATTAACTATCTATATCACAGACAATTGGCCAATGCTTTTTCCCGTGAGAAATGATTGAACAGTCTCAACAACATCGCAAAGACTATGCAGAATACGGAACATAGCTATCCGAAAGAGGAAAAAAGTTAGGGATCGTTCATACCGCGCACAAAGGCGGACGAAGCCGGACGAAGCCGGACAAAGGCGGACGAAGGCGGACGAAGCCGCACAAAGGCGGACGAAGGCATGTGTGAGTGTGTGTGTGTGTCGAGAGAAACGAGACGAGACAAGACGCGCCTTCGTCCGCCTTTGTCCGGCTTTGTCCGGCTTCGTCCGCCTTCGTCCGGCTTCGTCCGCCTTCGTCCGCCTTTGTGCGCGGTATGAACGATCCCTTAGATAGAACGATACTTATGCTCGTCGGTGCCTGCGTTTCATGACCGAACAAAAAATCAAAAATTTTGTGGAGATCGAATATTTGTGGCATAACATAGGAATTCTAGAGAACACATCTTGGAGTCTCCTGCAGAATGGAAGGGCACATCGAGTCCTAAGTGGTACGAGTATGTTCTTGCCGGATGGAAAAGCGTCGTGGATAAATTGAAAATTAGTGCTGCTGGCTTGGATATTTTGATGGAAGGTTGGAAAATTTATTCACCCATTTAACGTAGCCTGCAATGGGGATGTTATGCTTTCTAAGCCAGGCTGGATTCCTTCTTCGGTTGGACTGTCAAGTAGTTCTGCCATCGTCTGTGCAGCTGTCCTTGCCTCATGGGCGGTCTATACCGGAAATGGTTTTGAGGGATTGTCAAGGCATGTTTCTAACTGTATATTTTATACTTTGTTGAGTAGACGTAATAATTTTGTTTGCTTACCTTCGATTCAGAGACGAACTGACCGATATGTGCATAAAGGGAGAAAATTATGTTGGCAACTGCGGTGAAAGACTTGTTCATCTGACACAGGTAAACACGGCAAAGTTAAATGTGTCGAAAAGATTTTCTGTTTTCTTGGACAGATCCTTGCCCGAGATGACATGGGCGTTCGTTTTGACTCTTTTCCACTGATCTCGCATCAAGTAACTATACCTCCTATTGCTGTGTTTGAGGTGTTGCATAGCGGTGTAAAGTCACAAAAGGTGCGTTTGAAATTTCTGAATTCGTGTTTTTCTACGGATTTGAAGTACCCGTATACGAATATGTTGCAGGTGTACCACACAAGAGAACTGCGTTTTACCGAAGGAAAGATTGCTGCAAAGGTTATTTATAGCTTTAGTCTTCTTTCTGAAGATTTTGCAAAACTTATCAGCCAAAGTTCTGACAGTCTAGACTTCATCTTTTTACTTCTAGTTACTTTTGAAGATGGCTGGAAATGACTCTGCATGCGTACGTCTCAGAGATGCCCAGGTCAGCATTTTTTTTCAATACAAGCTCTCAAATCATCATTTCAAATATTATAGGAAGCTCTGGGTAAACGGCTGGAGGAGATGCTGGCATCGTGCGAAAACTTGCCGGAGACTATCACTCGGGAAGAACTGGAAAAATTGTTAGGTGCTGATCAACTTGCAGAATGCCTTTCGGAAGAGACAAGCAATGGTAGGCTTTTTTATCAAGTGGTATTATCCAAATTATGTGGTTTTCAGTCGACGAGTTTAAAATCCGTTCCACCGCTAGTTATGTTTTTACTGAGGCACAGCGGGTGAATAGATTTGAGCGAGCTTGTGAAAGAGGCGATCTCTTTGCAATGGGAGCGATTTTCAACGAAAGCCATGAAGCTTTTAATCGGGTTTGTTTTCGGCATTACCGAGTTCTTTAGTTTTTTTCTTGGCTTTGTTGATAATCAAATGCAAGTGGGGGGGGGGGTGGGGGAGGTAGGGGCTTTATGAGTTATAAATTTGCACAAGTGACTAGATTTTACTTTTAAAAAATCGAAAAAGTTGATAATAGTAATACTGAAATCCAAGTCAACATTCTGATAACTTTTTCGTTGGAGGCGTTTCGTATGTTTGCTGGACCTCTGGAAAGTATCCCGATTCCCTCCTTCCTCTCTCTCCCCCCCCCCCCACCCTCCGAAACGATCTTCTGGACCCCTTTACTATTTTCGGTTTTTGTGAAAAGACGGTTTTGCAGTCGAAGACTGTTTATGCGTAGTAGGTCTAGGTTAGGTGGAAGGACACCAATCAAGGGATGTATTGTGGCATTCACATTTAGCCAAAGTCAAAAGTTCCATTGAGTCTAGAATTTGGAAGGTTTTGGACAATACAGTCTATTCGATTTTCAGCTAATTATGATCTGCTAGCGATGCCGAGATTGGATGACCAAATTTGCACGTGAACAAATAGCTATGTCATTGATAGCAGTCACTTGCGCGCGCAAAACAGGCGTTGCTGGCGAAGCTAATTGCCATCGCAAATTTGGCCGCCCAATCCCGGCACCGCAGGCACTTATACGCGGAAAATGTACTAGACGTTACAACTTTTCTAACGACGGTAGACATCATTTCTTCTTCATAAATTTTTCCAGGATTTTGAGCGTTGCGATAACGATATCGACAAATTGGTAACACGCTGTCGAATGTCACATTCCTACGGTGCTCACATAAGTGGTTGGAGCGGTATGGTAGTAGCACTAATCGACGACATCCGTCCCGTATACCTTGGTGATAAATTGGTTTACCATGCTTTTGCATCATCGGGAGCTGCTATAGAATTTCTGTAGCTCATGAAGTTCTTGTCGTGTAAATACTGTACAGTTATTTTGTGTCTTCGTTTGCTCGGAGTCAATTTCGTGCAATGTGATTCGCGTTCGTTCTTTCTATTTTTGCAATTTATTTTACTGAATCATGAATAAACTTTCCACGGCATTTCTTGATTTGAACACATTTTGGAGGAAAGGGAAGCATTGCAGGAAATAAATAAGAGTGAGGGACAAAAGAAATGGAACTTTGATTTTAATGTGCTCAGAGGATGGACTGGTGCAGAAAAAGCGAAGTGCCTGTAAATTCGATAGTGGATAGAGTGTATTTTGCGCTGCCTACAACATTTGCGCGTAAATGGCAATGAACGTTCCATGACCATTTTTTTGCATATCGCGCAAATTGCCGGCATTTACAAGCATAAAACCTGTTTTCACGTGGAAACAATCTAGAAGACTGTTTCAACATTAGACCTACTATACCACAATTATTTTTTATGCAGCATGCAACTATTCTATGCCCATCTCTCGAGTGTGCAGTTCGCAAGAAATTTCAAGCGAAACATATGGAAGATGCATTTTGATCTGATCCTATAGCTTACTTCCTTTAATGTAAGAAACAGTTGCCGGAGACAAAGAGAATTACCGAAGAGAATACAAAGATTTATTTGAGAAAAAAAGGACTTTAGAGAACATGCAAGATAACTTTTGAGGAGCGTATAATTGACTCACGGTTGTCGCGAATTGGTGTCCGCAGCTCCGGACGTCCGTGGTAAAGAGCTCTCCTGCATCAGCGACAGGGGCTGAAGACTCCATTTGTAAGATGAAGTAACGACACTCGGGGAAAAGTAGCTAGCTTGCGCCACCTTATGGCCTGGCACAGTACGGATACAAAAGCTTAATTATATGCCCTAGGCTACTAACCTACTTCCTAATCTCTACTGCCAGCTATCTCAAGCCATCTAAAGCATTGTCTAAAGTTGTGTATAAGTTGCAACTTGGGCACTATCTAGAATCGTGCCTGTCCTCCTTGCTGATGAAATCCTACTGGAAACAAATTATACAATGCCCATAGCTCAACACTATAGGCAATACACGACGACTCTTGAGTGTCCATCATTTGTTCAAAACTTCAAACCAACACACAAACAACTCAATACAATCTGAGAGCAAACCGGCCAAAGATGTCACCTAGGAGCTGGTAGAAAGAGAACCCCGGGGGTGCTTCCCTGCCGTGTGGCAAGCAAGAAGCACCATCCGGGTCATCTCGAGGCGACGGGCCAGTTCTGCATGCGTGGTGATGTTGTTCGCGTGAGTTGAGGAACGGCGCTGCTTGATCGATCGACAGTGACTTAGAGTTGAAGCCGTCTGCGGGCGAGTAGACACATGATGTACGTGACTTTTGAACATAAGCTGCAGTATAAGTATGCGAGTGGGAGGACGGGGCAGCGCGCGAGGACTGGCGTTTTAGGACCCCTTCGCGCGAGAACTCCTCGAAGTAGTTGCGCAATGCGACAGCGGGTGCTGGGAAATAAGAAAATTCATGCTGACAACGGAATTATAAGGTGTAGCCTAAGCACTTCTATTCCTAGTACTGAGTTGTTTCGTAAAAGCACATTTTACGCTACCAGCGCGTTTGGATTTCAAAAGGAGAAATATGCCAAAGAGACAAAGCAAGCCCTAGTAGATGGCATTTGAAAAGTCGCAAAAATTGGACCCACCTGGTCAAAGGCAGAGGCAGAAATCTATAATATTTCGGTACTCATATTAAAATCGTCTATAACGCTTCTGCCAACTCCAACTTGTGCAGATTTTTCGATGGTGGAATTTGTGAAAACGAAAACTGGTTTGTTTCTGCCAAAGTAATGCTAAGCTTTCCGTAGGTAATTATGCTACAAACATATTATATTCACAGTCCGTTTCAATCACGTGCTCCCTTTTTCGTAAACGCAATGAGCTTCGTGTCATGTTCGCGAGCGTATGACTCGTGCGGCACGCAGGCTCTTGCGTTGCGCATGCGTAGTTCCCATGCGAAAGGGAGTACGTATCGTCGATTCGTTGGCCGTACGGACTGCTCAACCGTTGCGGACCACGCGCGGCGCGGTTAAAATGTTGCAAGAGCATGAAACAATAGCGAGTTTGTACTGGAGCAAGCGTTTTACCTCGCGGCGCGTGCTCCGCGGTTATGTCCAGTCCGTATAGTCAACGAATCGACGATAATTGAAATTGACACTATATTACAACCTGCATGCAACTATGTAATTTTCAATTATTAAGCTCTATCCAAGGAGCAATATCAAATTTAGCATGAAAAAAATAAATGGAGCGCATTTTTCGTGTACTTGTCCTACTTTTGATTCTTGATGTAACACTTAAAAAGGGTACAACTTCGCATAATATGTGATGGACAGTATGTGTGTGACCAAACTGATGGTTTTGTTAGATCTTTTTGGAGATATCTGTCTTTTGAGAACTCGCAGTGTTAATTTTGCTGCGAACTTCACGTGAACCAAACTTTTCTATTAGGTCGTTTCATAAGTTTTTTTATATCTGACTTTTCACGGAAATAAATCAATTCTTTCAAGGAATAGGATGCGAGATACCATTCGACAGGTCAGAGCAAGCTTTACAAGAGGCTTTCAAAAGATCGCAACAAGGTTGGTACCCGTTGAGTTTCAAGCCATAATAAAAAAAATTCTGAACTCCCGAAAAAAACGAAAATAATCGCATTTCAGTCCAAAACAGCACTGAATTTCCCACTCGCTCACGCACATACTTCCCCCGTCAAATATGTATATATATATATATATTTGTTGCATTTTTCTGATGGCTAAAAATCAATAACTTGCTGAATTTTCAAACTTCGCGTAGCGATTCTGTGCTCTTCGCAAGTATGTGATTATATAGGTTGAATCAGAATTACTGCCACAAATTTGCACCCTTATAAGTGGACTGGTTCTAGAGAAATAACACTTCGAAGGTTCGAATATAAAAAGACTTATAGGACAACTTAATATTAGGTGGTCCCGAAAGTTTTGTCCGTTTTTTCAAACCACTATAAAACCACGCACAATAAAGACCTAAACGATTTCCAACATTCATTCGATGCAGCTTTTCCTTCTCTTTCTTATGAATACATTATCGTACCATAATCTTGTATGCTTTTCTTGAAAATTGCCAAAATTCTCCACCCATCAATTTTATCAGCTCAACGTAAGGCTAACTTCTAAAAATTTCATTCCAAAGTTTCGGGAAAGGTTAAGTATGGATCAGATAGACCAATTCTCGGACTACAAGGCTATACTTTTAGACTCATTTAGTCTGCTGTTTTTAGCTTTACCAAAAAAAAATTTCGGAAGGTCTCGATTATTGGCCAAGTCATGAAACCCGCGATGCAGCAAATACACGAAATTCTGTGAATTAAAACATAATAACACAAAACAATATTAAAACATAATACTTATTAATCCTTATTTATGAAACAAACCCAAGTTTGATTTTCTTCAAAAAAGCAGCTTCTTCGAGTTTTCGGTACTTTTACGTGGTAAAGATAATCAAGAAGCCGCGGTTTTTATTGAATAAATAATTATAACGGATTTGTTGAACGTAGCCTATGTAACCTAAAATTGGTACAATATAGCCAAAAGTTTGCTCCACATAACAGTTACCAGCGCTTTTTGAAAGCATCAAGATAAAAGATTTTAAAATTCAGGAAATATTTGGCACTACTGCTGATCTGCTCAAAAAGCCATGGCGATAACATAGTAAAGACAGCGTAGATCAGAGGGCAACTATAGCTGTAAGAAAGAGTATAAAAATCTGAATCAAATGGTACCTAAGCCGTTCATGAATTGGTCTTCTGTGAGCTTTAGTGAGCGATGAAAAAAACGGACAAAACTTTCGGGACAACCTAATATATAGGTTGTCCCGCTGTCTGGTGGAGCTTGCTCGGTTGCATAGAGTAACTTTCACCTCAAATATTCCAGGAGTCTGTGAGAAAAGTTGAGAGTGCGAATTATAAAGGGGTGTGAAATCATCCCACTGTTATCGTCACTGCAAAAGCTTCGAATAGTTTGGTCTTCAAGATACTCTTGCCGTATAAATGTATTATGTTCATTTATGTTCATATTCCTTTGTACCGGAAGTTTGGTCTCGGAAATCCAGTTTGCACCGTGGTGACAGCGTGTAAGTTCAAGAGTTTCTGATGTGAACATTTTTTAAAAAACCAAGCAAGACTCAATTCTGTGAATGCTCCCTCTTTTTTCATTAACGGTCTCATAAATACATTCCCTCGAAAGGAGGAACTCAAAGGAGTCAGTGTAGGTATTGTTAGGAAGTAGGTTGTGCCCCCTTCATTTGTTATTCCGAACATCTAGGGCATTGCTGAAAAAAGGTTTACATTAGAAAATAATGTAGTTAATTGCCCGAAATCTCGTACTCAAAATCCCAAGAGATGAGATTGAAAACTTGCACGAAATAGCTGACGCTGATTATTTTCTGAACTAAACTCTTCTCAGCAACAACTTGCGGTCCTTTGCAGAGACCAGAATTTGCTGGTTTTGAGAATTGAGAAAATCATTTTTAACCTAATGTCATCGAAATATAGGATTTTTCAAACTCAAGAAAGTGATGAAGCAGATTTACTTGCTGCAAGCTCGCAAATATCAATTTAAGAAGATTTAAGCTTATATTTTATGTTAGTCTATAGTTCTGGCCAGCCTCCATTCCAGTTTTGATCTTCCCTTTATTAATTAAGCGAAGGAAAGTGATCCCGTGATCTCACCCCTGACATAAGCCGGTATAGATTCCTCTTTCTAGATTATCTGAAGGATTACTCGCTGGCAGTGCGTTCTGCTTAGATAACTTGTGTCACTACAGACTTCCACAAAATATTTTGGTAGAAGAAGCGTTTTTGAAATGATATGAATCTTTCTGAGTTTTCGCCCTGAGGCGCCCTAAGCCTGAAAAGTAAAAGTATCGTTGAATTTCTGAAGGCTTGGCTATGTGAGAATAGTCAGTGAGATCCACGATTTTTTCGGTCAAACAAAATTTACTTTTGTATTTTCAGAACTTAGGTACAACTTTGGGAATTTTTGCACTAGGGTCTGCTCAATCCGCATAACCATACCGTAATACCAATTCCTAGTGTTTTTCACAGTCTAAAATTTTCCGCATTGCTTTAAACAAAGAGTATTCGTGCAATCCCGTTTCCTTTCATGAGACTCCTGGCAGAAACAAGTGCTGCAGAAAAGAGTGGCCTATAGGGACTTTTGGCCCCTGATTTCTTCCATAGTAGCGGAAGGGAGGGAAATTGACCAGTACAGAACACAGATCGCGCCCTAGCACGAACCCATTCACAAAATTCTCGCCAACAACACGCCAGTAGACAAGATTTTGCTTGCATTATGCGTACAATGGAACGTCGTCAAATAATTATCAGCTGATTGCAAGCAAAAATTGTCGCGCCGAAGATTTTATGACGTGGGGGAGTGCTTCTTGTTTTCCATGCGTTTGCCTATCTTCACCTGTTTATTTTTCTTCTGTGCCAGGACATGGCTGCTTTCTGTGATTTTGTTTATGGTCCGTTTGCCGTGTGAATTACGCGGAAACTCTGCTTTGGTTGTTTTTTTGCTTTCTTCTCTCGTTTTGCAGCTGACAGCTTTTCAAATAGTCATGTATTTTAGTTGACATGCAGTTGCAGATGCAGTTCGTCTTTTTTGCAGTCATTTTTCGTATATCTGCCTTTTTGCCTAAGCTTGTTTTGTGAAGTGCAGCTCCTATTGCGAACTAGAATTGCGATAAACACAACATTCCAATTAATCACTCAGTCACTCTTTGATCGAATGTTATAAAACCTATTTTTTTGCATTTGTAGCTATGCTATAACGTCAGTTTGCCAAAATGTGAATCATCATCCTTTCTGCCTCTTGTTTTTTCTATTCTTGCATGTATGGATTGTTCCCTGCCCCTAAGTTAGTTTTTAGAACTATGAAAAAAGCTCTTTTTTGCACCCACTGCCATCGATTGTTGCATAGGCTGAGTGGAGCCACCGATAAGAAGTCGGCCTCAGCCACTATTACTTTGCTGCATGCTTATATTTCCTGTGTATCTATTGCTTGTCTGGTTTCACTCTGTTTCTTGTGCTCTTTCATTCCAAACCTATGTCAATATACATACCTTTTTCTTCAAACATAATTTCTTGTTCACAGTTCGAGACATTTTCTTCTTGCATTGCAGCGTATAAAAGACATATCCGGTTTCATGAGAATCGCTATAATGTTTGCTTAATTGGAAAAAGTTTAAGGCGCATAGCAGCTTTTTGATACTGCATTTGATAATTTCAAAGAAGAAACTGTGTCAAAGAAGGTCACGTTCGGTTTGATAAGCTATCAGTCCAGGGTTGTTGCCTTCCAGCTCGCTGTGTACTTCCTTAGTTATGAAATTCTCACATTAACCTATATAACGAAGAAAAACAATCCCTACAACGATAGATTCAATTTCTAACTTCATTTATTTTCAATATTTTTATCGCCATCCTTCCTCACTAAAAAGTTTTGGGATGGCATAGAAGCAACACAACACTCCTTCTAAGGATAGTAACGGAACGGAGTTTTCAAGACATAATCAATAATTATGAACATTTCTTACTATTATTTTTGTTATTGTTATTTTTTTGAGTTTGTAAAACAGTTTGCTCCTTTTTCTTATTTTACTCGAGATGCTCGATATAGAGACATAGCCTGACAGAACTGATGCTCAAAGTAGTGTTTTTATTTCAGCATTTACTCATAAACAGTAGTAATGCGCGCTCCATGGCAAATTTCTGCGTCCAAGTCGCAAGCAAGTTGTTGACAGTCATAATCATGGCATTTGCGTTCGCGCAGATGTTGTTGTCACTGCATTGTGCATCACATAAACCTCCAAACCTATAAAACCTATACACTGGTACCAGTGGCGTACCCAGGATTTCGGCTCGGGGGGGGCGCGACAAAAATTTTTTTCTAAAGAAGGTGCGTGGCGTCAGCCACGCACTCCGAAAAATTTTTTGGGGTGCTTCCCAAAACTTTTGCGGGTCCCCGACCCCTAAAATCTGGAAAAAGGGGGCGTGGCGTTAGCCACGCCCCCGAAAAAATTTTTTTTACAAGGCTAATTTGATTTTTTAAAAATTTTTAAAAATTATTTTAATTATTTACAAAAATAAACAAGTCACTTGCACATTTTTATAACCCATATAAGTAACTTTCAAAAATTTCGCGACCCATTCTCGGGGGGGGCGCGCGCCCCCCCCCGCCCCCCCCCCCCTCGGTACGCCACTGACTGGTACTACGTTGTAGTTATATACGTCAAAATCATTTGCTAAACTGGCTCTCAACTGTTGGCACGTTGCAAAATTCGCAACTAAAAAGATCACATATAGTAGCAGAAAATTTGGCCCGGTCGTAACATTGCGCTTTCCTCGAAAAAAAAATAAAAGATGATCATGAAAATTTGGTAACATATAGTTGAGTAGTTCTCATTGCTAAAGTGTGCAATTGCACATTTTCCACGATTTTGATTTGGGACACAAATTTTCCACAGGAGAAGTTCATCAATTGTGATCTCTCGTTCATCTTCAAAAGAAAAGAAGCGTCCCAAGAAAACTGGCAGTTTGACTTAATGGCCAACCTTATCCGGCAAAAGTGCAATTGCACACATCAATAAGAAAAAACCAATACTGTAAACCACGGCATTGGTGATAGCAATAGAATTTTCCTCCGATTCTGATGAACGGCACACTTTTGGTACTTATTCTGATTCACACAGGGTCGAAATGCATACTTAGAACGTCCATATTCCAGAACAAATCAATATTATGATCTTGCATTGCAGACACCATACAATGTCGTAATTGTCCGCCTTTCCGTACATCTATTCTTTTTGCGTTCGAGGGTGGATGTCTCGTCTGTGAGGCGGGACGCACGAAGTATGTACTTGTCGCAAACAGCTGATTGATACTGTGCAATCCGTTTTTCATCGCTTTAAGAGATTTGGTAGCCTTCTACTTCTTGCTGACGGTCTCCTTAAACTTCCTGCACGTCATTCTGCTGAGTTTTTGGTTCATTCTCTGGAATAGAGTTGCTGTTGTCCAGCTCGTTTTCATTTTTTATAACCTTAATATTGCTATTTGTTGCAAAGTATGGGCTCAGCTCCGCATACACTCAATCTTTCTCGTAAATCCTTATTTATTCGACGAACGCATTCACATTTATGCATAGTCGTAATCGTTAGAGACGCAGAACGTTTACTATCGTGTGCTACAAATCTTGGCATAAAATTTTGTGGCCCCGCGCTTCTTTATTGCAGCAAACCAAATCATAACAAATTCTTTTCCACTGGGACTTTTTTCGTGGGTCGCAGGTTTCAAACCTAAAAATGCGGAATATGTGGTGCTTAGAAGGGGAATATCAGAATTTTAAATTGTAAATTGATCTTCTTCGCAGCTTCGCTCGTACTCTAGCAAATTTTTGATTGTAAAAATTCAGTTTTTTTTTCAGGAGATGCGGACCAACAGCACGTCGTCGTTCGCATCTTCCACTGCGCTGGACGAAGTTGCTACGGCGTCGTCGTCAACTACACAAACTGAAAATCCGGATTATGTGAAGACGTTACGTCAATACGGTCGATATTTCTCCACACGCCTCGTTCAGGTTCGCCTCGCACAGTTTTTTTTTGTCATTTTTTGCAATCTTTATTGATTTGTGGCGGACTTCATAGTACTGGTTCTCAAGTTGCAAGACTGCGGGGGGTGAAACTTGATCTGTGGAAAATTCCCTGTTCATCTTAGTATGGAATAAAATAGTGGCAATTTTTTTTTCTGCGGAGGGAGGACGGTTCCTGTTTATCGACAGACCTGACCATGAGAATCTCAAGCTTTTTTCTGAAAAGCTTCGAATTACTCAAGCAAGCGTCAATTTTAAAGCCTAGGAGACGGCGATGATTTTTTATTGCCTTTTGGGTCAAATGACTTGCGAAAGAAGTCATCGTTTAACATCTGAAACAAACATATCTCATAAGAAGAATTTTTTTTCCAGACTTTTTAAAAGTGCTGTCAATCCAACTATCTCAAGAATAAGAGTAGTAGGGGAAATAATTTGTCATAGAACATACCCAAGTCAAAAGCGCGCAGAAAGTCGTTTTCTTGCTGTCATTTGTATCTGCTTACAGCATGGAAATTGTAGGCGCATGCTATAATTTTCAACATTCATGTAGTTTTTCTAATTCTTCTTCTATTTGTCGAATTTCTGTCATAGTAGTTCCAAGCTCAACCTTGTAATCAGTCATAATGCAACCAAGTGTAAACTACCGCTGCTGAGCGCACTTGATGGAGTCATGTGAAGGAAGTCAAGTGCAAAGCGGAACTTTTTTCTCAAAAAGTTTGGTCTATTTGTGAAAATCTTGAAAATCCCGATGTAAAGTACCCTTTGAGTCATCGTTGCACAATCTGCGGCACTGCCGATGTCGTCAGACTTCGACGCTTCGTTAACAAGTGAGTAAAAAAATGAAGAAGTGCACTTTAGCGGACAATGGGAAGTTATTTGCAGCGCCCGATTGCAAAAAAAGCGCTATTTCAAATAAGTGCTCTTCCTTATCGTCTTACACAGCACTGAGTTTGCACGAAGTGCGCGTAAATGAATTTGATTGCTGTGCCAGACTTTACAAAGGTGATCAAGCGATTGATCACGTGATTAAACGAACTTTTGAAAGGGAGCGGAGACCAATGTTCTGGGAATCTGTTTTGTTTTTATCTTACGAAAGTGCACAAGGTAAAGTCGTTTTCCCACTAGGCCCGAAAATAAACCTAGAGTCCTGTAAAAAAAAACTTTTGCCAAATAGATCTTGCTCGTGGCATGCACTGTGTTCCATTAAAGGCAGTGTCCGGGCAAAAACTCGATTTTGAAATTTTGTGTTTACCCGGTCCTATCCGCTATGCCGAATCCGAAAATCCACATCGGAAAGCGCGAAAACGGCGAAAAAGGGCTCTAATACAAGAGGGAAATCAGCAGGTGGGCGGGGCTTTCCCCAGCGCGATTTCATGCTCCCAGCTCCCGGAGCGATTTTCTCGAATCCGTTAGGCGTTCTGACATCACTACCGATCAAGTGCAAACGAATGACTTGAAACCGGAATCAAAAAGATCGCACTGGAATCTGATAGCGTGAATTCACAGTGGGGAAGACCCCGCCCACTTGCTGATTTCTCTCCAGTGTTAGAGCCCTTTTTCGCCATTTTCGCGCTTTCCAATGTGGATTTTCGGATTCAGCATAGCGAATAGACCCGGGTAAGCTTAAAATCTCAAAATCGAGTTTTTGCCCGGACACTGCCTTTAAACTAAGAGCGCTACACAAGGTTGTAGAACGAGACTAATAAGGGCAAAATTTTTTGCAGAATTTTGAGTGCAGAAAAATTAGGTCAGCGGAGGGAGAATTTGGTAAACACCATTCGCTAATAAATTGAACATATTGCTGTCAATTGCGACTTCCTGCACCTCATATCACAATATTTCATAGTCAGTGAGCTAAAATTTTGCTGATGACCTCCTTGATCTTGCTAGGAGGCTTCTTTATACGTACAACTTTGGAGGTTTGCCACCAAAGTCCCAGTTTTTTTTGCATGTACCGACTATTTTTCTGGATTTTAGAAAACTCATTGAAAAGCAGTTCTTTTAGGTTGTGGTGCAATCGCGAACTAATGAAAAGTTCGATCTGGAATGTACTTTGCCCTCGAGCAGCCCAGATTGGTTCAACCTCCGAATAGATGAACTTGGTGAGGTATCGGCGCAAGTTAAGAGGAGCATCAGCAGGTGAGTGCAGGAATACAATTTCTTCTTTTGCTGGATATTTATCTTACGTGTCTTTTCTGTACTCTTTCTTATGGTACGGTAAATGCTTGCAGTTTCCCACCCGTGGCCAAAGCTATATCAATTGATTTTATGTTGTATACGTGTGATGGCGAAGTTTTACCAATGGAGTCTTGGTAAGTGCTTGACATAAATATTTTTGTTATCCTATCAAGTTCAGTTCTTTATTGATCTGGACTGTCTTGAATTATTGCTCACGTTCTTCACTGAAAGTTTTACATGAACAAGAAGAGAATTTGCTTCCAATTGAATGTTATTCATTGTATTTACTTATAAGGGCATATCATTTTGTGTTCGAATAGAAGTTCCTCACATGTTGATAGCCCAAACTGGGCCGATCACTCCGGCAAGCCAATCGTGACTGCAGTCACGTATCTCCATAATATAGCCATAAATTCGATATCATACTATGTCACAAAAGATTAACAAATAAAGCAATTGCTTTGTGATACATTTTTAATCCATAATTTGGACTCACACTCTATTTTTCGAGATGTCGCAGAACTCAAGGCTTCAAAAATACTCTGATTTCCACGTTTGTGTATTTTTGTCTTTAGGCTCACCATTGATTTGTTTGTCAAATGAGATCCCAGTCATCTTGTTTAAGGACGTTTTCTGTTGACGAAGAAGATCAGTTGATGGCATGGGCAAATGATATCAAGTCACAATTATATCTACAGATGAGCGTTATGCTACGAAGCGCAATGGTAGCAGCAAGAATGACACCGTTGCATAGGTCAGTGCTTCGCAATGCTAGAAAGTCTGTTTTTAACAACCATATGAGGGGATGAGCTGGATAATTGTCTTGCAGTTTGGCTTATAGTTTCTTTTGAATTGATCGCGAAACCTGTAAATTAGTCAAACTTTTTAGGAATGTTTTTTCGTGCTTTGTTCATGGGCATGGGTAAAATTGTGGCGGCAAACTTTTGATGCTCATCAACACAGACACAGCTCTTTTCCTCGGTCACATTTGCCTTTCGTTACTTTAAGTTCGAAGCTTTGCATTTTCGTTATTGTTCAAAGTTTGGTAGTGTTGAGCTTATTGTCAGCTAAACTAGCGTTTGATTACTCGGAAATATGTGTGCAACAATACGGATATCATCATTTCTTTGGTAATGTATGGCTCTAGGACAATGCAGCACCCCTACAATGCAAACTCTTTATGAATAATAAGCGGTATTGAGTGACCTACATTGAGCGAGTTCCAGCCTGCGATCGCGTTATTTTTCCTCGCCTTGCTATACCGCTGTTGTTTCAGGTACTACGTAAAAAAGCAAAGCTGTGATACGTTCGTTATACTTTATAAGCTGGGAGAAGGCGCATCTGAGCTGGATCTCGGATCAGAAGCAAAACGAATTGATCTCGGCCGATTTCCTACACCTGTTGGAGCTTTCACACTTGAAGTTGCTTATCGAACACAAATGGCCAAGGAGAGGGTGTTGTCACCACCTGAAGGACACGAATCTCCTAATCAGGTACTTTCTCATGAGCTTTTATTGATTTGCAAACATTTGTTTTGAAAAGGTCGAGTTTTGCTATCGTTAACGTGAATATTTGGTCTTTCTCTATCATTGTTTTTGTTACTATGGCGAGACTTGGGGTGGAGGGGGGGGGGGAGCGTGGTTCGTATACTTACCCCCTTTTGAATCACCTAGCTCAGTTGAATTTTCTAACATAATGCATCTACTGGAGCTTTCGTGCTTTCGTGGAGAAATCAGGGAGAATCATAAACAATACGATGCATTCCTCGATTATTCATCTATGGATGACGCATTGCTACGAACACCCCAGCACCACACTCTTTATTGTGCACCTCTTAATCTCTTTCATCGCCCACAGAAATCACTTGGTGTAGACGAAATAGCAGTTTGCTCCTACGTTCACCTTGCCCTTGTAGTGTTAGTTTCAGAGGATATTGATTCTTACCAATGTATCTGTTTCCCCTTTCCTGTTTTTATTCCTTTTTTGGGAAATAGAGACTTTAATAAATGAAAGAAGTATTATAGATGAGTAGTGTGGTATTGGCAACTACACCGGAAAGTGGAGCACCAGTGGGTTCACCGACTCCATCATCCTACTGTGAGCTTATGAGCGAATTTAGCACTAGCCCGGCAAGTTTGGTGAGAGCGACTTATGATGTATTGATTTCGTTTAAACTACGGTGTGACTGTTACAGGCAGCGGCGTCGCCACCAGATCCATCCAACGCAAATCTGAAGACTGCAAGGTAAATTTATTCTTCCCACTTCTATCAGAGTTTTGCATCTTACGTACATGAAGGTCTCGTTCCACATCGGTTGCAAGTGAGGGCGAGCCTGTAGCGTCTACTAGTCCGAAGACGAAACCGAATATAGTGAGAAATCCAAACTTTCTTCTACAGCTATACATATCGTGGTTTTGCAGACTGTTGCGAAGAATATGCCATTTGCAAATCTTCTGACGGTATCGTATACTGGTGTATTGTTCCCATTACCCGAAGAAATTATGGGAAGGAAGAAAAGTCGTGAGTTCATTCCAGTTATAAGCTGCATGTTTTCTCCTCGCTTTCTATCTTCTCTGTTTTATTTTTGAATGAACGAGAACTGTGTATTTTAGATTCGGAATCTGCGATTTTGGAAGGAAACGGCAATACTGAGGTTCCACTTCGAGCTGATTCTTTTGCAAATTTGATGTGCGCCGCTGTTCCTGGTTCGGCTAATGAGGAGCACAAGGAAACTAAGCAGTCCACTGAGGAAAATGTGAAAGTCGAAACTGAAGTAGCTAAAGGCGAAGAGGAGATGAGTGAGTTGTCGAGTTGGATTATTCTCTTGATTTCTTTTTCATACTGTTCCTTTTTTTTTCTTTGTTGAATATAGGCTATGTAACGGTCGCTATCAGTTTTTGTTGCAAGACATAAATTTCGCTAGTTTTCATTGTGTAGGACGCATGTCGAATCATAATTCCAGTCTATTGATTTTGCATCCGAATTAGCTTCTTCTCAACAACTTTACTAGGACGTAATTTCTCCAATAGACATACTTCGTAATTAGCTATTATTCAGAAGCGGACGATGCTGAGAAACCCGCTGTGAAAGTCAGTTTTGATTTGGAATGCAGTGAGAGGACTCTTGTCGACCCAGATAGTGACAGCCAGACTGAATCACGGAAAGATGACGTCGGAGATCCAGAAGAATCCGTGGCCACTTTGAAACGTTCTACAGCGGATGCCGAAGAAGTAGTCGCCACATCGGACGACGACTCGTTTGTGAAGGTAAGCTTCGTTTGATCGAATTCGTACTCATGGCGAGAATTTGTAGTGCGAAATGTTTGTTGACTTTCAAACGTATTCATAGAATTCGGTCCAGATCCCATTGTTTGGTCGAACGTCAGCTGGAGAAGCAGCGCAAGAGGGAGAATTGGACACTCATTTGACTGAGTTTGTAACTTCATGTAAAGCACCACCGCCTCTAATTGCTGTACCACAAGAATGGGACACTTTAAGTGATATTCAAAGTCTGGTGGGTTCCTTCGGCACTTTTACAAGCTACACATTTTTTGTTGAAATTTTGATGCTCGAGTTTTATCTCCTTTTTCGTGTATGCTTTGGTTGGAGCTTGCAGTCAACTATGTTTCTAATTCAGCGCTATGTTCTTGACAGAAAGGAAAACCTTGAAAAAATTCAAAATCATTTTTATGTTCTATACTTTTATTCTAGCTGCTGTCATTTGTATTTCATCACTTTACCATCTCCTTTTTCAGTCAAATGTTTATACTTGAGACTTGTATTGCACCATTAATCTGGATGGATAATCCTTATTTTTCAGCTCGAAGATTTCTCTCAAAAACAAGGCCTGTTTGACAAATTTGTCGCAGAAGTTCGCGAACATGGTGATGACAACGATTGATAACCCGTACCTTTCTAGCCTACTACTATGTCCCGGTAAATATCCATGTGCGACTATCCGTAATTCATTTGGTCGTTCATTTTTCTTAGAACAGCTCAGTACGGTGCTACAACAGTATATGAGTAGTCTTCTCCTATCACCCGGTAGATTCAATCCCTTGTTGTGACTGGTTCTGAGGCGCGTTAAGTAATACAACAATTTTTTCAAATTTTTCTTATATTAAATCGAAAAATTTACATCCGCATCGCTTACATGCACAAGTCAGTCACAAACTGTTAATTTACACTTTCCTTTTTTGCTTTTAAAAGAAACATTTCGCAAACTCCTCAATCGAGGCTTCGTTGCAAAAAATTAGTCGAATAGAATTATTTACGTGAGCCTTGTTGGCAGAACATCCGCTTTCTTCGGTCAGGTCTTTCCTTAGTATATCCAGATTCTTGAATATACGTCAGCTACGAAAAGAGCTACGGATTTTCACGTTCAACTACCTCTGCTTACCTCTGTGAGATAATAGCAAAAGGTTTGGCTGTTCAAGCAACATTTCAGTCTTTTCTTTTCACCATAAGTGATGTCACATCATTTTCATGAGTGTTACAACTTTTCAAGTAGTGCGCATTGAAGCTGTATTTATGCTTTGTGACACCAGATCGTTGCATAGATGCGCTTTATAAGCAACTCAGATTTTCGATTGGATCCCAAGCTTGCCTGTTTGTTTCCAAGATGTCACTTGGCTCCAGCTGCGTCTTGTAAGCTCTGTGATCCACGTTCTCTAACAGGCAAGTTTTGCAACCTCTGCTAATTAGATTGTTCGGAATTTCTTGGTTTGCAAAACAATAAGCTTATGACACGCCAGCGAAAAGACAGGTATCCTACGGCTTCATCGTAAGTGAGCGTGAATATTTTTGAAGTCAGGGTAATGCCTGCTCTGATCCATCCTCTAATGTGCTCCTCCAACTTCTACTTTCTCCTCCTCCAATAGTGATAAGTGTAGTGCACGGAGATATGATCGCATCAAATATATGTTGAGAGCTTCTGAAATTCGAGGCGAGTGAATTCTGTAGTGTAGGTCACTTACATGCTACCCAGCCAATGCAGTCCTCAAAGTCGGTTTGGCAAATCCTTGACCTAAAAATTGCTTGGTAGAACTTATCCTATACGGCTCGTTAGGAGTCACACCGCGCGCGGCTGCCGCTTGTCGCGCCCAGATTTTGTTCCTCATAAAAACTCCCGGTGCTAGTGGCACGGCGTCAAGGGTGGGGGGAGGGGGGAAGGGGGGGGGGGGGGCAGCAGATACATGACTCGATGCCACAAGTAACATTGCAGCAGGAATGCTGACGGGAGCCGAGGCCTGTACTGCTTGACGTCGTGTGCGGCGTCGCTTCGCGAAAAACCGTGGCTCCTGTCCCGTACACTTTTGCCAGCCGGATTTGGTGTGCTACTTATCTGGAGAAGAGAAACCTTCCACTGCGGATTCAGAGTTTTTCATTGCCAGTCCCGATTTCCTCTACAAATTCGAACTTTACTTGAATTACATGGATAAGAACAATTGAAAAAGACACTCCTACACGACTATCCAAGCGAGCTTGCGTCATGAAGCAAGAGGAAGCTAGTTCTATCCCGAACATAGTGTGGCCCATCTTGTTCACTTAATTCTGGGGAATAGAAGCTTATCAATCATTGTCGGATCATTTCCTCATAATCATGTAAATAGACGGTAAAGCTCAATTATGTCCACTGATCAGGAGGATGCGATGCGGCGGGTATCAAGCAAATGCATTACTGCAAGTACTGTCGCAGTGCTGTATGTGGTGCAGGAAATAAAACTGGGGAATCCCTTGGTCAAGGTGAAGCGGAGAAGAGCGGACTTAGCCTATGCTACTACAATTTCACGAATATAGGACGCGGGGGATTTTTCTCTTTAAAACTAGTGGACCAGTAACTAAAGGTGCTAAATTGCATCCGCGCGCTTCCCGACTGCACCGCGATTTCCCGCTATCTGATGTCTTTTGAATTGGGGTTGCGATTGTTTATGCATATATTTGAACAGCACAGACACCTGGAAGGGCTTCGCTATCAAAAAAGTCTATACAGTGCTGCATTGTTTGAGGGCCATGCAGCATAAGTTTCGTTTTCCGAAACACAGTGAAGCGGCTAAGCTGCTTGCTTAAAAAATCGAAAAAGGTGCGTCCTGTTCTCGTGATATTAAGTTAGGTTTAAAATAAAAGTTCTTTGCTTCACTGGAAAGAATACAGTCCATTTCGTCCCAGATTAGGCGGAACATTCCACGAGGAGCGGCGCGTGCGCGTCGCTAGAGGCTTCGAGAGCGCATAGCGGGCATTTTGCCAAGCAAAGACTGAGCAGAATGAAAGGACGCAGACCTCGGTTCTCAGCACCATAGGTCATACTGTAGCTGCGAAACGGCGCGAGCTGTTGCGAGGCGGACGCCTGCCAATCCAATTTCCGCCTAAAGAGGGTCGAAATTTACTGTACTTGTGAGTTTAACCATTCCTTGTGAGATGCGTAGTAGCGACGGCTCAAGAATTTTGCGGTTGCGCGTAAACCCTGGAATTCTGAAAAGAATTGGAATTGCGATAGCCGCGTCCTCAAAATTCTTCTACAGAGGTAGTTTGAACTCTCGATGAGTTTCTAAAACATTTTAATTACCTGCAAGTAAAACAAGACATTCACATATTTCCATAGCTATGCAGATTTTGGTGAAGAGAAAGATAAGTGTAATTACTTGGAGATGGCCATAATTGAGCGCGCGGAATCGTACGAACTGAAGCTCGCGGCGTGTCCCTTGTGGGCTAACATTGACATTCGCGCACATGAGCCATTATAGCGCTCATACTCGGCAGCCGCGTTGCAGGCACGCTCGCGTACGTTCAGCCTACAGCGATCCGGGCATTTCATGCAGCCGACTTTAGCCGCTGTAATGCAATTTGAGCCATGCAGTAATATATGATATACTTACTTACTAATCGGTGCATGGTTTGCAAGGAGTTGGAGTCAAAGTAAATTCACTCAATTTCTCACCAGCTATGTCATCACCAGATTCTTTACAATGTGAAGTGGCCAGCTGTGACAAGTTCAACCATTTTCGTTTTTTTAGTAAAGTGTAAGTACAGCTATGCGCCTCTGTTTCCTTTAGTTATCGGCGAGTACATGAAGCTCAACCTTTTTGCTATCATTTCATCACGGGATTAGCGTTTTATGATTCTTAAAAGTCGGATGTTTGGCCTCAACAAGTGTTCAGACCAAATAATGTATTTTTTCTTTGAATAATGAGGACCATTTTACACTTTGAATTACCTTCAAAAAAGCTTTGAAGTTTTTGAAGCTAAATTTGGCAGCACTATCGTAGATCTGTTTTTATAATTTCAAAGAAAATAATGCGAACTGAGTTATTCTCCATAGTGATAATGTACATAGAAGTGAGCGATATCTAGGTATTGATTTCCACTTTTTGTATATAATTTTCTAATTGTCCGTCTCTACTTCTTCTAGTGCATTGTGGTGATCACTGCTGACGTTCTTCTATTTTTTGTATGTCACAAAATTTTATATGTCACATAATCTCAATTGTACTTGAATTCTTTGTACATACAATGATGCCCGGTTGTTGTAATCGATGATAATGACGTTCATTTCTCGTTTATACCTTGAGAAGTTGTACCTCAATGATGTGTCATGAAATGTTACACGAAATTGTTTACTTGCATATGATGGCGTTTCACGCAAATTGATTTTCGTTCATTTCTCACACAGTCGATCTGTTCTAAAGTTTTTATGCGCGAAAGGAATGAGAGTTCTGCGTGAATGCAGTAGAAGTGTTATTGACACACGTGAAGTGATACTTTCCTCTATGATTTTGTGCAGTCAGCGAGATGAATTAAAGCATAGATTGGAGTAAGGATTAGTTCAAAACATTCGGAAAATATTACAAGGGAAATGGTGATGATCACAATAGTATTTCATATGGAGATAGCGCTTTCAATGGGAGCCAGTAAAAACAGATGCCAACTAGTTTTTAGTTCTATCTTACAAGGGAAAGATACCAAGTCGATCCTTCGCTTTTTACGAAGCATATTTGATTCATGTCAGTTTGGAAATCTTTGTTTAAATTTATGTGTAGGCTTTTTTTATAGACATGTGACCGCGTTTATTTTATCGCAAAAGAAACTCCCCGCAAAGAACTCGAACCTGCGACCATAGTCGTAAAGAGCGTCACGCTTATTACTTAATCAGCTTTTCTCGATTTATTATTTTCCGTTGAATCCTAGCTTGCGCCGTGCAGTCAGAAATGGTTATTTTGAAGGCCGTTCAGCAGAGAGTGGATGCAGATTGGAGCTGAGGAAACGGTCAGAACTTAACCCACCCATCCCCAAACGAGCTGCAGATCCAGACTCGCCTTGAGACGCTGATTTCAAACACTAGCTCAACTAGTACTTAGATATAATAACTTCCTTTGTTTCACATGTGTTTTTTTATCTGCCGACTACATGGAAGGAGTTATGAGCATTCATAGATGGGAAGCTAGAGTTCAAATGAATACTGTTGTTGAAAGGCAGCCTGATGGCGCGGGTTTACAGTGGTTATGGTTATTCCAGTCACAAGGAAGAAGCACATTTACCAGAAAGTTAAATAAGCGTTTTTGAAACATATTTTATGGAACATGCGCTACAGATCACTTGATAAATCTGCCCATTTGAACGCTCGTAACTCCTTTTTATATTGTCGTTCGGTCGATAATAAACATATATTTGAGATCAGCATTCCAAGGCTAGTCCGACGATGTATAGTTTGTTGGTACGGTTGGTTAAGTTCTGACCATCCCCTGCTTAGCTGTATTACAAACGGCTGGATTGGATTAGCATCCTTTCCTTGTTAGCACATTTTGATATGACCGTGCTTTACTTTTCACGCTGTATTCTAAAATCTTTAACTCGGAGAAAGTTTCAAATAAATCAAAAGTTTGTTTTTCCATATTTGTAATTACACTTTAGACGCAGAATTTTTCCATCGCAGTTTCGGTTACCTCACTGATTCACTTGAAGATAGATGAATGATTTGGAAATACTGCTTATGGCTGGAAGTTTGGGTCTCTTATTTATCCTTCTCGTATGGATAAAGCCTCGTCAATAGCTGAAAAAAGAACGGGTTCATAGAACAATCTAATAGCGCAACGACCGCTCAAAGTGTTTTGACATTAGTTTTCAAAAACACTACATTACAATCAAGCTTTTGAAAAATGGGACATGTATCCTTTCTGTCTGTAAGTGCTTAATCATGAAAAATATGATTTTAAATGATGATTCTAAAAACGCATTTGCAAGAAAATGCAAACTGCAAAGCATAGCAAATGAATTTTCAAAATGAATTGTATTCGAAAATAATTCAACCATTCTCGCTATTCTTTCTGTCATGAAGTGCAAAGCTAAACTGACAGAGAGTAAGTTACGTGTAATAAAGGAATTGGAAGACAATTTCTTGATTTTCGTTTATATTTGAATTTAATCCACATACTGAAGTATTTCGAGATGCGGCTGCCCATAAGCTTGACGTCATTGCGGCGCGCTTCACAGTTCGCTGGTGTCAAGGATCGTGCAAAATACATACCACGACGAGCACTGCTTTATGTACCGGCTAGCAATCAAAAAATGTTGGATAAAGTGCCTAATATGCAGGTTTGTGGATTTACAGTATTCCATAAGTTTCTCAGATGTACTGCTGGCTGGAAAAGAACTACATATTGTCACTAATGGATTGGTGTTGTAAACAGCGCCTGTCCTCTCATCGATCGGTCCTAGTGGCACTGAAATGTGCATTGTGTTTGTGGCGAGATGGCCGAGCGGTCTAAGGCGCTGGTTCAAGGCACCAGTCTCTTCGGGGGCGTGGGTTCGAATCCCACTCTCGTCAACGCTTTTGCCATTGTACCTTGGATGTTGCACTTTTTTTTGCAGGCGGACTGCGTCGTTTTGGAGTTGGAAGATGGTGTAGCTTTGACGTCTAAAGCTGTGGCACGCACACAAGCGACAAAAGCACTTGACACATTTGCGAACCAACAGTTAAATTGTTTCGAATTGGGACTTCGTGTGAATTCGGTGGCGAGTGGATTAATTGAGGATGATGTAAAGGTAGGTTTTTAAAAAATTTCCTACAGCTTCATCTATGTGTTCTTTCAGCACTTGTATTCTTATTTATTTTTGACTGATTGATTTTTTTTTTCAAAAGTTTTCAATTTTGCCCAACATGATTTAGGAAGTATGTAAAGCGGAACATTTGCCACAAGCATTTATGGTACCGAAAGTGGACAGCCCTGAAGATGTCGCCAAAATTTACGATGTATTTAGAAGTAACTACACCGCTAAAAGAGTAACAGATACTGTGAGTTAGAATATTTTACAATTGTTTTGTTATCGAACGTAATTTATTTTGACATGTATTTCACAGCCGTTTTAATTTTTCTTTATTAATTTAGAATACCCGACTAGTCATATGGATAGAATCGGCTAGAGCACTTCTCGATATGCCAAGGATATTGTCTTCTACACTTAATCTACATAAAAATTCTGGATTTTTCAAATTAGATGCTGTCGTGTTTGGATCCGATGATTACTGCGCTGACATAGGTAATTTTTAGGCCTATTATCTACTAGCTTTACGTCATCATACTGAGTGGTTGTGAGGAGTCTTATTGCTCAATTTTTTTCGAAGTTTTCAGCCGAATTTGAATTTTTCTCTCCATCTCTTTTCAATGTCCTTTGTTCTTGCATTTTCAAATTTACAAAAAAATTTTTTTTCAACATTTTAATTGGTCTTTGAGCAGAAGATTTTGGAAAATAATTCTAATAATTCTGACAGAAGTATACTCTTTTCCCATTAAAATTTTCGTGCTAATGTTCAATTAGAGGGTTTTCCCGTTTTCTATAACTTCAACCGTCGTGCTTCTTTTGAGCGTCAAAAATTTATTGGAGAAACCGTTTGAAACTTGCGAAAATTGATTTTATTTTTTCAAGTAATTTCTGCAGCTGATATGTAATGACATCTTTTCGCGCTTTTTCTCTATTTACTTTATTCATTCTTGCAGCGCAAAGCATTGATCCGTCTCTGCAATTTCAGGTGCTACACGTACTCCTGAATGCACAGAAGTTCTTTATGCTCGACAACGATTCGTGGCGTGCTGCAAAGCTTTCCAATTACAAGCTATCGATAGTGTTTACATTGATATTAAGAACACAGAGGGACTGAGGATACAGAGTGAAGAAGGTGAGGGTCTCAGGAGAGTGAAATTGCAGTCTACAGTACACGAAGAAAATTTGGTTAAAATTTTTTCTTGATTTTGTACTGTGGACTGCAAGTTAGCGGAAGGCCTGAGTTGCACAGGGTGTTGCCGCAAGAATCGTTTTTTTTCCGTAATTCAAAAATGCCGCAATAAGCGCAGCTGAGAATTTTTTAGAAAAAAAAAACAGCCATAGGATCTCTTGGAAGACTTCCGCATTTATATCTTGTTTGTTTTAGGTCAGAAATGGGGTTTCACTGGAAAACAAACCATTCATCCCCTACAGGTGAGAATATACAAATACGTTTGACGAGTTCCAAGTAAAATCTAGAAGATCGAATACAATTAGTTTTTTGACCTTCGATGAAAATACAAGTGTACAAATTGTTTCAAAGTATCTCTATATCATGATTTTCTTACAGATCCCAGTCGTGCAAAAAGCATTCATGCCATCTCCACAAAAAGTTGAATGGGCAACCGAACTGGTGCATGCATTCAGTCAACATCAAGCTGAAGGCAAAGGAGCATTCCAATTTCGTGGACAGATGATTGATCGACCGTTGCTGCTTCAAGCTCTCAACATCATACAACTAGTTGAAAGTGTTGGAGGTTCTGCGAAAGACTGAGGATTGAATAGTAGTTGATAGAGGAGGTAGAAACAGTGCAAAGTGCCATCAATTATCTGGCAGCGTCAGAATAACCCCTAGTCTGATTTCTTAGGCGTCGGATTACAAAGACTCACATCTAATTTTTGACAGAGCAGGGTATGGGTGTTATGAATTTCTATTTGCTTCAAAACTTCATAAATTAATGAATGAAATTTTTTCGAAAGGTTGTGTGGCCACAGCAGAAGAAGTGATCCATTATTGCCATTCTTTTCACTTGTTAGCAGTCTGTATACTCCCCAAAATTGATTGGCATGGATTTATCACTTGGATTAAACAACGGCGATTTTTATACAGTTAACTATGGCATGTCGGAAAAAAGCAATTGCACATTTAAAAAAAAAGGAATTGAAAATGAAAAAAATTGTCTATCTTGCTCCCGATTAAATCGTCTACAACAAAGACTCGCATTAAAAGCAAAGCAGCAAGGAAATTAACTCAGACTTTTGTGGTTGAAAACAGTGCTAATTCTGGGAATCTAAATTTCTCAGGGAGACGGTCAAGAAGCGCGATCTCTTCGGCTGTCACCAAATTAAAACTCTAATTTAGTGCTATACGAGTCTTCAAAAATTACCAGATAATGTGCATCAGTTACTATCTGTCTGAGGTCACCACTTGCTGAGTTTCATGGTTTTTGCTATGAATCGGACTGAAATATTTACGAATTTGTTCTGAAATGCATTTTCGTGAGTTTTTGACCTTCAAAAATGCTGCTATGAATTTTTTCTAGAATATCAAGATTGAGCAACTCATGCAACTATCTAATTTATCTTCTTCTAAATTTCTTATACTTCTAGAAAGTTGCAGAACACTTATTATGTGCTATTTGGTGTCCAGCTGGCAATAAAAATCGCGCCTCTTGACATACACCCAATTTCTCATAGTAGTATCAGGATTCTCTAGATAATACATTGCTCAAACGTCAGCTGATTTGATTCCCTTGTGGTCGAGAAATTCAGCTTTGAATTTTTGTCCAGACAGTACACCTTCTGACATCAAAGAGTGACTTAAAATACGGTAGTGGGCAAGGCAGACTTGGTTTTTTGACTCAGCCGTTAAAAAAGAACAACCATTGCTGGCATCACCGGAAATGTGCTAAGTTGTTCATCCTCACCCGTTCGATCTATGTTTAAGAAGGTCGTCGTTTTGTTACAAGAATATTTTCGATTTCGTTTTCCGTACTTTGAAAAATACAAATTTTTCAATAACTGCTTCGAGGACGACCAAAGTTCATCTCAACCCACCTTAGGTCAAAATTGTGCTGAAGTCGTTTGCCACGGAACAGACCGCGCCGCTTACACTGTATCAAGTCGTGACGGGAATTCTGTCTGCGTCTGATCGGGATCGGCCATAGTATTCCTGCTATTCCTACGACTCCTGCGAATCCTGTGAGTCCCGCACAGTTTAGACGCCGCTTAAATGAGCGCGTGTTGCGTAAAACAACACGTAACACGCAATACGCGCTCATTTAAGCGGCGTCTAAACTGTGCGGGACTCACAGGAATCGCAGGATTCGCAGGAGTCGTAAGAATAGCAGGAATAGTATGGCCGATCCCATCGTCATCTTTGGTTTTTACCTGGCAAAATGCCAACACCGTTTGCTCGCAGCTCCGCACATTAGCCTCATCTGCTGCTGTAGTGATGAAACTCTAGTTGGTCTAATTTTGCCAAACATTTCAAAAAAATGAGGAAAGGCAATAAATGTTGATTTATTGACAAGCCACAAAACTTCTATCAAATGTCTTCCATAACTACATCCACTGCAATTCATAAGCTGGATCATCTGCAGGTTTCAAGGGTGATGGTTTTGTTATTGGAATATCTTTGTCTGGAAGAAAAGAAGAATGACAGCTTTTCGCGTTAGGTCAAAAACTGGAGTACATTTAAATTCGGTTGATCCATCTGCATTAGTAGTTTTGCACAAAACATTCATCATATCTTCACCAATAACTTCCTCCATACGACGATACTGAATTAGGAGTCATTTGAAAGGAGAACTGTTGAAAAGTGCAGTTTGTTTCAACTGCGGTGTCCCTTGAGCGTGCAACTACGCATGCGCAGCGCGGAGGCCTCCGCGCAGGTTACGATCCATAGGTCCAATTTGCTGCTCAGGCCAAACGCTCGCAACGCCGCTAGTTGCTGCGAAGCGGTTGTGATGCTCGCAATGGACACTGCGATTGAAACACACTGTAGAGAGTCAGCAACCTCATTTATAACAGACTTCATCGATTTGCGTTTCAACCTCAGTATAAATCTTTCCCAACCACCAGCGAACTCATATTTTGTCTCCACAAGTTTTTCATCATTCAAAAAGCGAATCATTTCTTGCGTCGTCTGTAATTTAATCCGAAGGTTTAGGTCTAGTGGTTAAAAGTTTTCTATTACCTTAATAGCAAAATCATCATCTTCTCGATCGTGAATAGCAGTGGCTCCTCCTACTGTAGTACCACCTCCGGCTACTGTAGTTTGATATTGGTCCTTAAAAAATAATCATACAATGGAGAAAGCAGTGAGAGAGTAGCTGTGACTGAATAGCCTCTACAGAAAGCAATAAATAGGTCATTTATGAAATCGTGACGGAGTTTAACTGCGGTTTTGCGCCCATCGGAGCTTGCCTAAAACATACAGAAAGACATCAACTCAACGCTCAGCTCAGACATTTTCAGCGTCTAAATATTATCACACCTAAACAAAGAAACCATTCCAGCTGAGATAAAAGTCAAGAAAATCCGGCAGTCGGAAGTGCGTGCGTGTCGCGGGCGGTTGCGTTATCGTCACGATTGTTCGAATGCCCTCTAGCGCTCTGAGATTACGGATTGATAACCGCGCGGTGTCTGGCGCGCGTTTCTTTTTGAACAGGCTTCGCTTCGCATTATTTAAGGCAAAGGACAGTTGAAAAAATGGCTTATATACCAATTTGAGGACACTCACCAGCATTTGAAAGTAATTCTTTCGTCGAGCGCCGCCTCTCTTGGCCCTTCTTTCAGCGCGAGCCTTATATAGGAAATTTCTCGTTGTTCTTTTGCGACAATCGACATAAACTTACTGCATAAAGTGCGAGTTCCTTGTCAAGAGGCTTCTCTCGTTTCCAACGTTTGTCTTTCTCTTGTTTTTGAGCTCTTTCCTTGGATTTCTCCTTTTTCAATTGTTCTTGAGCTTCCGCAAGCTTCATAGGCTCCTTGCTTTTAACCTTCTTCATCGCTGTGATAGAGGAAATTATAGAGATGAGAATTCATCCATAGGATGCACTTTGTACCAGGCGGATCCTCAACTAGGGCAGACATGAACCAAAAATGAGACAAATTTCATGATAGTTGTTATTGTTGATGAACAAAATTTGAATCCTGTTTGTAGTCGTATAGCACTTGCTATCATTTTTGGAAAGTGGGTAACATTTGTGAGAGGGCAAAATGGAAAGCGGAATTACAGAATTTACGCAAAGCTTGAGGAATGAAACATTGCTCCTCATATTTTACTCACAGCCTGTGTCGTTAGGGTGACTAGTGCACCCTAACGATATAGGCCGAAATTATTGAAATTAATTATTGAGTTATTTTATAATTTTTGTGGGTGTAGGGATACAAACAACCTTCCTTTTATTTTCATACAAACACTTTTTCTATCTCCAGATGATTGAAGGTACGTTTAGAGACTACGCGATCTGATTGGAGATCGCATACTTCCCTTTCAACACTTGACCAACATTTTCATTTCTCAATATTTTTTATCAAATGCTTCACGGCACAAATTTGCTCACCGAGTTTTATAAGGCTGATACAGATAAAATCTAATTTTCAACACCATTGTTTCAAAAATTGAGCTTCGGAAAATAAATTTTGTGCTTAAATGAGCTCAGCGATTGAGTTGTGTTGAGATAGAAAGATGTTGATATTATGATAATCAGGGCAACAGATCACCGCAAAAGAGGTAAACAATCTAACAACAAACAAGCTAGTAACTCTAACAATGACTAGGGCAGGTTATGAAGTAGAAGAGGCTTCCACAGCTTCAGCATCCTCTTCAATTCGCACTCCGTATCGTTTCAGCTGTTCCTCATTCGGAGTGACTGGTGCTTTACTCATCAAATCTCTCCCCTCCTTTGACTTCGGGAAAGCAATGACCTGCAAGAAAACCTTGATTTTGTAGGAAGAAGAGTTTAAGTTTATTCAAACCTCTCGCACAGGATGAGATGGATCACCATAAGATGCCATGAGGGCGATGTAACGATCAAGACCCAAAGCAAAACCGCCATGTGGAGGTGCACCGTACGATAAGGCTTCTAATAGGTGCTTCTGCAAATTGAGATAATTTCAGAAATACTGTCAGATCTTCAAAAATTTACTCCTTGCATGATAACAGTTTTCAAAGTAGGAAAAGAATATATAACGGAAATTCAAAGCGTTAATTGGTTTTTCAAAAATTTGCAGAGTTTATGGATGAAACCACCAACCATTTCCTGAGTATCCTCTCCAAGAATCTCCAAAACATGAGCTTGTTCTTCTGGATCATGAATACGTATGGAGCCACCACCCAGCTCCACACCATTTAGCACTAGGTCATAATGTTGCCCTAAAGAGAAGTTACAGGTTATATTTATGTCACAGTTTAAAATAAGCCAGAGACCAACCGGTGATCTCGAGAATTTTCTTGGGATCGTCGAGCCATTTTCGATGCTCGTTGATAGGAGCAGTGAATGGATGATGAGAACTGACAACTTTACCATCTTCCACAGAAAACAAGGGAAAGTTTACGATCCAGTGAGCGCATATCTGAAATTGTTTTTATTGGCTTTGTTTTGATTAGCGAAATAACGGGAAAAATGTGTAAGCGATTTACTATGGAGGGCAAAGTCAGCCGACGCCTGTGAGTTGTGGCGCATAAGCACAACGCAAATTGTGAATTTCCCGTAAGCTTGAAAAAGTTATATACAGTCTGTCTCTATCGCAGTGTCCCCCAATCGGCATGTGCTTTCCGAATGCAACGCGGCGTTCGCCGGATGTTGATTGCGCAGTGAAATTGACCTCACCGATCGATAAGCATGGAGACGCATGCGCCGCGACGTAATCGCGCACAAAAAGGCAAGTGCGACTGAATCAGATTATAAAGCGCCAGACGTAACTCTCATCCAAATTCAAAATCACCTTTCGCTGCTTTCGTAATCCTCCAACCTCCGCTACCATATTTCGTAATTGACCAAGGGTCCACTGTACGCCATCCTCATCGCCCCAACTATAAAGAGGATCTCTCTTCAAAAAGAGACTTGGATTTCTAGCAACCTGAATGCTACACAGTCTTCATCCTCAACACCAAAAAGTTCCTTCATATCCACAGCTTTGAGAGTCTTAAACCATACATCTCGGCTTGTATCGAAAATTGCGAAAGGCTGCAAAATATCTGTTTTCTAACAAAAAAAAATTTGAACACTTACCCTAGACAACTTATTCATGGCTAATATCCGTTCAAACTCCTTCTTCACCAATCTCTTCATGTGCTCTGAATGACCTTTGCAGATAATGAAGCGTGCTACCCAATTTTTTGGGGAGCTAGATTTGCGAAGGAAGCCTAGAGAGTCATTAAATTTACTCAGTAGGACAACAATAAAAAATTAATCCTACTGAGTTTTTCTGTGCAATCCTCGATTTGCCATGGGATTCTCATGTCAGGCTTATCACTTCCATACAGTCGCACTGCATCTTTGAAGTTCAGACGAGGAAAAGGTGCAGTGGGTTTGAGATCCTCCTTAAACCTACCAATAGTAAATTATACTTTGAATTAAAACTTCTTGGTTTATTTTAGATATCTTCCCTTGAAAAGGAAGAGTAAGCTCAAATCCACTAACTACTCATCTACTCCCACCCTATTCCAGAACATGAAAAACACATGTAATTTTTTCCTGCTAGATATATAGGCCTGCAAATTTTATCTACAGCAATCAGAAAACCTTCCAGCTTTCCAGGTATCCACAGCAACTTCAAAGATGTACCGTTGAGTCGTCAACGTAACATGGATACTGCACACTATGTGCGCTACTTAACGACTTGTAAGATTAGGACTTGTTTATTTCCAGTAAATTCTGCTTGTTTCCTTGTCTTTTTGACTTAGGATATGTTTAAGTTGGTAGAACACATTTCCACACTTTGTTATGTAATAAGGAATTTTACTGAGCTCCGAAAAAAGTGCACGCTAATCCCGCCTCCTTGACAAGTTTTGACGCGGTTAACACATCAGATCTACAGCATTCGTTCACGTCAAAACTTGTGAAGGAGGCGGAATTACCGCCCCTTTTCTTCCGAAGCCATTTTCTCGCTTCAGAATCCATCTCTTTCGAACGGACTTAAACTGCTGCATTAGTCAGGTGTGTGTTCCTGCACTGCGTCAAAATCCCACCACCTGCAACTGACCTCGGCAATGTTTTTAAGTCACAAATGGCTCGAGGATATTTACGAAACTTTACTCCAAAGTTTTTGTTGTCAAAAATCAAGAAATAGTACTGCACTACTTACCAACTCCTCAGGCCATGCTGATAACAGCGTATCTTCCACCACCGATAAAACTCCTTCTTGATTAGTGAACGACATTTCGAGGTCGACCTAAAAACTTTCAGTGAAAGTTCTGCGATAACTTCAGAGCAAATGTAAGAAATTTTGGATTTTTTCAAGAGTGCAGAAAAGACCCAGATCAAAACCTAAACATTCGGAACTATCCCAAAAAACAGAAAATTTATAGTCATGAGGAAGGGAAGAGTTAAGGAAACCCCCAAGGTGATTATTCTACCTGAGTGAATTCCGGCTGTCGATCGCCCTTCGATCCTTCGTCACGGTAACATCGTGCAATCTAGGAACAGATTCTGCAGTGAAAAATTAATATTTTTTAGAAATTTCTACCTGAAAGTATCGGTCAATACCACCGACCATGAGCAACTGCTTAAATTGCTGCGGACTTTGAGGTAGAGAATAACATTGGCCACGATTCGGTGGAGGAGCCGGTACTATAAACTCAGCCGCTCCACCGGGTGTCCGTCGAAACAGTGTGGGAGTTTCGACCTACAGCAGAAAAATTACAACAGATCTATGGGCTATTTGATGAAAATCACAAAAAAATTTTCGGCAGAATCGTAGAACATTTTCATAGCAGCAGCATGAAAATTTTTTTAGAGTTTATTCGAAAAGAAGAGAGATTTTCCCTGATTGGTTATTTAAAGAAGCACAGAGGGTTTGTGGAAAAAATCATTCGATGGATGAAAACAAAAATCTAAAGGACAAAGTTTTTGAAATAAGATTAGTAATTTACTCATTGTCACTAGAAGATTTACAAAATTTCGTTTCTCCTATAAACATCCCAATTACTTCTACACCCTTGAATATCAAGATCCCATTTGGAAGTAAAAAGATGAAAATAGTTGCTACTATCGTATGATTGCTCAAATTATCATTCTTTTACAACTTCGGGAATAAAACTACTTTCCTCTTGACAAAAACGGAATATTTTACAGCGCCTTCGAAATGCGGACATAAAAATATCCAATAACTACATTTAATTGACCAATTGTTTGTGTTCTTTATATTTATACTATTAGGTTGTCCCAAAAGTAAACCTTGTTTTAAATCAATCAAACTGTTTTTGTTTCCCTGGCAAACTTGGGGTACCATTCGATAGAGCGAAGCAAGCTCTACAAAAAGACTACCAAAGTCCACCTAATTCGTAACATAGGTAGAATATGGAGCAAAAATCTAAAAATAGATTTTTGCGAAGAATAATCGTAGAAACTCAAACTTCGTCATTATACAGTAGACACATAGTAGTACTCAAATATGCTTTTACTGGATTTTTCCGAGCTTAGACAGCGAGAAAAAGAGATAGTCTAAAAATGGCAAACTCCGCCCCCAGCCCCTCCCACATATGTCATTGTATACTACAAGCCTTACTAAGTACAATCGTGAAACTTTACTTTTGTAGGTGCTCTTATAATCGAGAAATACCAAGTTTCACATGAAAAACCCGAAAAAAGTGGCATTTTGGCATTTTGGGATCATCTTTCTCAATTTTGAGCTCCGTAATAAATCAACGCCGACCTTCACGCTCTTCTCCACGCCGCAGGGCACATCAAGTACACGTCATCGCCCTGCAGGAAACGAAGTCCAGGAAGCAAGACGTGCGACAGTTGAGCGATGGGACCCTCGTCATTCGTGGTGAGAAAGTTCCGTCGCGGAACGTGGGAGGCGTCGGATTTGTCGTTCACCCAACGATCGTCCATCTCGTCGATTCGCATGAGATCCTGTCTCCCCGACTGGCCATGCTTCGTCTACACCCTCCACACCAGAAGACCATCAGCATCATCAACTGCTATTCTCCAACATCAGCAGCTGATGATTCGGAATTGGATGCTTTTTACGAGCATGTAGAGGAGGTCGTCCGCAACGAAGAGTCCTTCTACAAGTTTGTTGTGGGTGACTTTAACGCGAAAATCGGGATGAAACTAGAAAAGGAGTTTAGGATCGGGAAATTTGGATTTGGGCTCCGGAATGATAACGACAACCGTCTTATTGGGATCCTATCCGCCGCACGCCTGTTTCATGGAAACTCACTTTTCATGAAGAAAGAACAACGACGATGGACATGGGAGTCACCCAATGGAACGACACATGCGGAGATTGACCATATACTCACCAACCGAAGATGGTGCCTACTTGACGTATCGGTAGTGCCATCTTTCTGCAGTGGTTCTGATCACCGCCTCCTACGAGCGAAGGTACGATTCAGTCCAAAGCTGGAAAGGAAGATTTGCCATCGCAGTCCACGAAGGAAGGATGTCGTTTACGACGGTCAAAGGTTAGAGGAGGTCTTATCATGTTGTGAGTGGCCCATCGAGGAAGACCCAACGAAGGACTACGAGCTGCTTCTCAAAGGATTGGAAGCCTGTGGGTATTGCGCCTCAACAACTCGTGCAAGGAACTTGGATCGCATCTCAAGCACCACCAAGGAATTGCTCGAGAGAAGAAGATCCTTGAGGCTGGATCCGAATGCATCTCACCTCGAGCGGTTGGTGGCAAATACCAGCTGCAGAACGGCATTGCAGGAGAATCTACGAAAGTACAGGCAAAGGAGGATTTTGGAAGCCGCTGAACAAAGACGAAGTCTGAAGAAATGCCGAAGGGACCTTTGCGACTACCACATACCACTGGGAGCGTTATTAAACGAGAAGGGGATATCAACAACTTCCCGCCGAGAAATGGAATCGATCGCGAAGAGTTTCTACACCAACCTCTTCCGCTCATCAACACCCGTGCCAGTCCCCGCTGTTCCCACTGGAGACACACCACCACGAATTCTTCCTGCTGAAGTACGCGTCGCGATCCAGACCATGAAGACGTCCACAGCTCCAGGACCAGATCATCTTTCCGTGGACCTGCTGAGAGCTGGAGGACACTGTCTACACGAGATTCTGGCGGCGCAAACATCTTATCTCCAGAAGGAAAGGATTTTCGACCAGTGGAGAACGTCAAGAACCGTTCTTCTCTTCAAGAAGGGCGAACGGGAAGATCTTCGAAACTATCGTCCGATAAGCCTGTTGAGCGTGCTGTATAAGCTTTTCACCAAGATCATTCTCACTCGCATCTCAAGGACACTGGATGAAGCCCAACCTCCAGAACAAGCTGGATTTCGCAAGGGATTCAGTTGCATGGATCACATCCAGACGGTTTCGAGGGTCATAGAAGTTTGCCGGGAGTACCGATTACTCGCCCTAACCTTCGTCGACTACGAGAAGGCATTTGACAGTGTCGAGTTCAACGCTATCCTGTCAGCGCTAGTCGATCAAGGAGTGAATCCGTCATATGTGAGGACATTAGCCAACTGCTACAAGGACTGCACCACAACGCTACAGCTGTTCCATCGCCCCCTGACCGTACCAATAGGGAAGGGGGTCCGACAAGGCGATACCATATCGCCTAAGCTGTTTACGGCGGCCTTGCAGTGGGTGATGAAATCACTGGACTGGAATGAGAGAGGTATACGAGTTGATGGGAGATTCCTCTCGAATCTTCGTTTCGCGGACGACATCGTTCTCTTCTCAAGCAGTATCAATGAAGCCGAGACGATGTTAAAGGAATTGAACGAAGTAGGGAAGACGATTGGACTGCGAATCAATCGGAAGAAGACCCAGTTCATGAAGAACGGCCTAATTGAGGATACGGAATTGAAGCTGGAAGGTTCCCCAATCACGGAACCTCTTCTTACGTGTATCTAGGACGTTCAATGAACATGCAGAACGACTTGAAAGAAGAACTTAACAGAAGGCGAAGAGCAGCTTGGGCCGCTTACGGGCCTTTGAAAGAAGCCACCGACCAACTAACGGACCCTGCGCTCCGAGCTCATCTGTTCGATTCAACCGTTCTTCCAGCACTCTGCTACGCAGCCGAGACGTGGGCTGACACTGCTGCCACGTCGAAAGCTCTTCGTACCACCCACAGAGCGATGGAGCGGAGTCTTCTGAAGTTTAACCGACGTACGCAACATCTTGCCGGACTTCGCAGTTCTGATTTAAGAAGTATGTCCCGTCTACGAGACCCAGTCGAGCATGTTTCGAAGGTAAAGTACCGATGGGCCGGTCACATTGCAAGAAGCACAGACGACAGATGGACGCTAGGAACGCTGGAATGGATCCCTCGCGATGCAAAACGCCCTCGAGGAAGATCCCCCACCAGGTGGGCAGATGTGTTCGTGGAAAGGATGGACCAGCTGAAAAACCAGCTGGAAGCGAATTTTACACCTAGATCTCGTGATCTTCGCCACCAACGACCGATACGAACATCGTGGTTGACGCTTGCGAGGGATAGGAACGGATGGAAGCTGTGCTGCGGCCCGCACAACACGTGAGGACGGGCCAACTAAGTAAGTAAGTAAATAATAAATCAACAAAAAACATTTTTCGGTACTACTATGTGTCTACTATATAAGAACCAAGTTAGAAGTCCGTAAGAATTTTCTGAAAGGAGACCCAATTTGTAGGGTAGCTGAAAAATTTTAATTTTTAGATTTAAAATTACCTGGATCGCGACTTAAACGGTTCGTTGGTGGTCATTGTAGAGCTTGCTTCGCTCTATCGAATGGTGCCCCAAGTCTGCCAGAAAAACAAATACAATTTGATTTATTTTGAAATACGGTTTAATTTAGGGACAAGCTAATGATAAAGATTTAGCATAGACCAATAATGTATTTCACAAAATTTGATCACTAACGTCAACAAACTCGGCTTTTTCTACCAGAAAACGCCTCATCTTGTGAACAATATCCGATCGCATTCGTAAAGCTCTGAAAAATGATATTTTTTAATTATTTGCTGTCAGAAGTTCGTGGAGTCCTGGTTGGATCTGTACATTCTAAGCAACCTCCAAGATGTAAGAGCAATCATTACAACAGCTATACGTACACACAGAACCGCGCGCGTTGCAGCACGCGGCGCGTTCGTTGGATTGCACTGCGTTGGTGAACCAACTATGAACTATCCCCTTCTGCTGCAATAATTTCCAGCTTTTTACCTTTGCATTCGTTCTGTACGCAAATCGATGTATCGATATGTAAGCCGCGTCCTCTCACTGGTTTCTGCATCCGGTAGCATAGGCAAATTCGCTGATGCGCGATTTAGCACCGTCAATTTTGAGATATCAATCTAGAAATTCTCTCTTTTTGGGCATACAAACAAGAATACCACGGTTTACTTCAATTTCACCCGTTTTCATCTTGAGATTTTTATTCTCGCCTCGGTCTATCACACAACCTTCGACTTGAACTATAGACTCATAGGGAAGGTCTTTTACGATATTGGCGAGATCTGACTTTGGAGCCACCGTAGCCTAAACAAATTTAGAAAGCTCAAAAAATTGTAGGAAGAAAAGCGCACCTGAACAGTTCCATACGCGTCACGCAGAACAAGAAATCGGTTCATTCTTTTGTATGCAAGCCAACCCATAACGCAAACTTTTGTTCCTGGATAAAAAAATTGCAAAACTCTGAGGTAGGAGTACGATACTCTCGCTCTGTCTTAAGCCATGTAAGACGTGAATTTCGTTTGTTACATCAGAAATATTCTCGAACGTGTCGAATATTGTTGTGCCGAACAGGTTGTTAGGTGGTCCTTTTATTGTCAGTGCTCTTCGGCCTTACGTTTCGACGCTTTCGTCTTCATCAGAGGCCTGGAATGGTTCAAAGCTTCATCCGTAACTCCAGCCCATCAAACGTCTCTACCAGCCCTTGCCAGTTTTCGGCGCTTCCCCCAATCTAGTGCCATAAGAATTGTGCTGGCAAAAGACATACCAGGGAACCACCGCTTCGTTAGATGTCCGTGCCGGATGTAGATGTTCGCGACGGACGACTGAGCTATACTGAGGGATGTCACATAAACAGTTATAGCTCACATAATGATAAAAACGGAAGGAAATCAGCGGTTATGGATAAGCACTCGTTTTTGTTGTTCATTTCTGGATTCTTTGCAGAAATCCAGAACGATTCTAAGGCTTTCCTAGCCGAGATCTCTTTTTCAAGTGTTAGAATTGTGACTTTGATATCAAAGTCATCTCCACCATGCAATTCGTGCCTATGTCTGCCAAGCGGCGAAGCCAAGTTCTTACGCCTTTTATCTGACAAATGCTCTTTGATGCGAATGCCGAGTGTTCTTCCTGTTTCCCCAATATAGCGAGCATTACATTTCAGACATTCAAGCTGATACACCACTCCCATCTTCGCGCAGTCACCCATTCTGCCGTGCGGGCATATCATGCATTGCTCCGTATTGCAGTATTGATCGTAGAGCCTGTTACGTACGAGCTGTTTTTTGATATTATCATTGGGAATGTTCACTAACATAATATCATCTTGCAGCTGCGCACGAACGATGCATTTCTGTATGGCCGCGCTGATCTTATCAGAAATGAATGGCAAGCAAAGTGGAAGTTTGTCATCAGCCCGAATGTTGTTGCCATTTCTCCGATGGTGAATGTGCGGTGAAGAATGGTAACCGTTACTGCAAGCTATTTGGGTAGCCAGTCTTCGTGATTCGCATCGCTCCTCTTCTCCGTTGCACATCTGCATCGCGGTTCTAAACATATTACCAATGACAGCACGCTTTACAGAAGCAGGATGTGCAGATTTTACGTTGATGAGGATATTTTTGGAGCTTTCCTTGCGATACCATTTGACTCTTACAATGCCAGCGGTCACCTTTACTTGAGCATTGAGATAAGGCAGCCATCCATCGCGAGGTATCTCACGTGTGAGCTTGATGCACTGTGATTGCTGGTTAAGAATTCTGAAACACTCGTCCATCTCGGACTGTGTTGAAGTTGCAACACAGCAATCATCGATGTAACGACAGTACATCAGTGGCATACGTGCTAGGACTGGCTCTTCAATTCTGCTCATAAAGCATATGGCGAGAATTGGTGCTAGCCTTTGGCCCATAGCTAATCCACGTATCTGGGAGTAATAAGTCCCAGACCATCTAAAGATGTTGCATTTTAGACATTCTTTTACTAGGGCCATCGTATGCGCTTTGCTAAGTCCAAACATGTTCATTGTATCAGCATGCTTATCCAACATTTCCGATAACGCTTGCAGAGCCTGGTCATTCTGCACATTAGTGTAAAGAGACGTTACATCAAACGACTCAATTACCGTGCTCGAATCAAACTTAGCGTTTCGAAGCTGTTCCACAAACTCGTGTGCATTGGATAAGTGTGCTGGTACCTTCGTTAGCAGCTGGCTCACGATCTTATTTAGGTACCATGAAATCCTATCGGTGGGGCCGCCTACGCAACTGATAATTGGTCTAATTTTGTAAGTTGCCGCTGACATTGAGTTCATTTCGTGCTCGGAAAGCTTATGGGTCTTCAAAAGGCTGTAAAAAACTGGACATGATGGATTTGTCACTTTCAATCTGCTTATGAGACTATCAGCAAGTCCGGCAGATTTGGCAATCGTAATCCATGCGTCACTAAGTTTTTTACATTGGGCTCGATATTCTTTTTCAGAGACCACTGCATACGTTGTAGCGTCTGCGAGGTGGGCTGCAGTTATTTTACGATCCAGTTCCTGCGGCATTATTACAAATTCGCCTCCCTTGTCGCTTACTGATAGACGTACAGAACCATTCGAGATGAGTTCACGGATCTCCTTGAAACCTTGCCACTGATTTCGTGAAAGGTTGCTTTGGCGCTCTCGTTCTGACTTGGTCAAGACTTCTAAGACACCAGAGCATAAGAGCCGGAACTTCATGTCTACACAAAAATTTGGTTCAGGTTGTCTATAGAAGGACGACGGGAATGGGATCGTCGGTAAAGTTCTTTGTTCGTTAGCAGCAGAATGACGTTGAACACTCGCGCGCTTGGCTTTCAATCGAAGTAAATCCCTAAGCTTGTGCAAACCTCCTACTACCTTTCGGTAGAGTCCAGCATTGATGTTCTGTGCAGGGGAGAACGAAGGACCTAGGCTAAGAAGCTCAATGATATTTGAAGACACTTGAGCGTTTCCAACAACCGTGACCCTTCCCGTTTTTTCATTGCATGATGAGAGATGTTCGGGGCGGTGATAGGCACTGGAGCTTTTGTCAAGCAAACAATTTTTATGGCATTCGTTCGAGAGTCGGTCGTACTTTGCAATGAGCCTAGTTTTAACATTAGACCGGATCGAATCACAGATTGACTTCGAACCATCCTTAATTTTCCTCCAAGTCTGACTAGGCAAGAGACGTTCACAAGCCTTCTCTTTACAATCACATTTCAATAGGATAGAGTACAACATTCTGCGTTTCTCGACAATGATAACGTTCAAAATAGAATGATAAATCTTCTTGATTTTCACATCATTCTCATCGAGACAGCAGGTATATCCTATTTTCTTCGCTTCGATGAACTTGGGAACGATGTTATGTCTCTTGCATCGTTGGAGGAACAATAAGGACTGGCGAATTGCTACCGCTTTTTGCCGAAGCGATAGCGCTTCTCGTGTCAGTCGGAACAAATGCGGCGGTACGTTTTCTAATAATTTCCATGTTCCATAATCATTAAACCTGGGCATGATCGTAAGTGTCGAATATTGTTGTGCCGAACAGGTTGTTAGGTGGTCCTTTTATTGTCAGTGCTCTTCGGCCTTACGTTTCGACGCTTTCGTCTTCATCAGAGGCCTGGAATGGTTCAAAGCTTCATCCGTAACTCCAGCCCATCAAACGTCTCTACCAGCCCTTGCCAGTTTTCGGCGCTTCCCCCAATCTAGTGCCATAAGAATTGTGCTGGCAAAAGACATACCAGGGAACCACCGCTTCGTTAGATGTCCGTGCCGGATGTAGATGTTCGCGACGGACGACTGAGCTATACTGAGGGATGTCACATAAACAGTTATAGCTCACATAATGATAAAAACGGAAGGAAATCAGCGGTTATGGATAAGCACTCGTTTTTGTTGTTCATTTCTGGATTCTTTGCAGAAATCCAGAACGATTCTAAGGCTTTCCTAGCCGAGATCTCTTTTTCAAGTGTTAGAATTGTGACTTTGATATCAAAGTCATCTCCACCATGCAATTCGTGCCTATGTCTGCCAAGCGGCGAAGCCAAGTTCTTACGCCTTTTATCTGACAAATGCTCTTTGATGCGAATGCCGAGTGTTCTTCCTGTTTCCCCAATATAGCGAGCATTACATTTCAGACATTCAAGCTGATACACCACTCCCATCTTCGCGCAGTCACCCATTCTGCCGTGCGGGCATATCATGCATTGCTCCGTATTGCAGTATTGATCGTAGAGCCTGTTACGTACGAGCTGTTTTTTGATATTATCATTGGGAATGTTCACTAACATAATATCATCTTGCAGCTGCGCACGAACGATGCATTTCTGTATGGCCGCGCTGATCTTATCAGAAATGAATGGCAAGCAAAGTGGAAGTTTGTCATCAGCCCGAATGTTGTTGCCATTTCTCCGATGGTGAATGTGCGGTGAAGAATGGTAACCGTTACTGCAAGCTATTTGGGTAGCCAGTCTTCGTGATTCGCATCGCTCCTCTTCTCCGTTGCACATCTGCATCGCGGTTCTAAACATATTACCAATGACAGCACGCTTTACAGAAGCAGGATGTGCAGATTTTACGTTGATGAGGATATTTTTGGAGCTTTCCTTGCGATACCATTTGACTCTTACAATGCCAGCGGTCACCTTTACTTGAGCATTGAGATAAGGCAGCCATCCATCGCGAGGTATCTCACGTGTGAGCTTGATGCACTGTGATTGCTGGTTAAGAATTCTGAAACACTCGTCCATCTCGGACTGTGTTGAAGTTGCAACACAGCAATCATCGATGTAACGACAGTACATCAGTGGCATACGTGCTAGGACTGGCTCTTCAATTCTGCTCATAAAGCATATGGCGAGAATTGGTGCTAGCCTTTGGCCCATAGCTAATCCACGTATCTGGGAGTAATAAGTCCCAGACCATCTAAAGATGTTGCATTTTAGACATTCTTTTACTAGGGCCATCGTATGCGCTTTGCTAAGTCCAAACATGTTCATTGTATCAGCATGCTTATCCAACATTTCCGATAACGCTTGCAGAGCCTGGTCATTCTGCACATTAGTGTAAAGAGACGTTACATCAAACGACTCAATTACCGTGCTCGAATCAAACTTAGCGTTTCGAAGCTGTTCCACAAACTCGTGTGCATTGGATAAGTGTGCTGGTACCTTCGTTAGCAGCTGGCTCACGATCTTATTTAGGTACCATGAAATCCTATCGGTGGGGCCGCCTACGCAACTGATAATTGGTCTAATTTTGTAAGTTGCCGCTGACATTGAGTTCATTTCGTGCTCGGAAAGCTTATGGGTCTTCAAAAGGCTGTAAAAAACTGGACATGATGGATTTGTCACTTTCAATCTGCTTATGAGACTATCAGCAAGTCCGGCAGATTTGGCAATCGTAATCCATGCG